ATTATTGATGAAAGGGAGTTTTTAAGGCAAAGTTGTCGGTTTCAACAGGCGTTGTGAGTCGAGTATAAAAATATATTTTGAGGAGGTCGTTAAACTCTTTTTGTTTTCGGAATTTATTTGGCTAAAGAGACACGTTTAGGAAAATTTCGCTCGCGCTTTAAGTCCGGTATTTGATAGGTACCTCTTTTATTCGGGCGTAATTAATTAATAAATTTTTAACGAAATAAACGAAAAAAATTTGTTTGAAAATTGCGAGCGGTATCGATAAGTTCCGATTGGGTCCGAAAGGTCCTTATAATCATCATCGTAGTGTATAAGGTGGGTCGTTGAACTCTCTAGCCAGAGTGGGGTATCCCTGCGTCACGGTTCCGGGGGCTGCGACATACGTTTCGCTTTTCTCCGGATCAGGAATCGAGCAGGAATTGTTGGATATACAGAGATACAAAATGGACAACACGTCCGTACTTCAAGTACATTCCCGTATTACTACTACACATATAATACAACATGGACAATTTGCTGCTGCGACAAGACTTTCTTAAATATTTCCGAAATATGCGTCGTCGAGTTTTCCGGGATGAGATGGGGACGGACGGCGCGCGTGTTTGCGAAATTTTAGTGTAGTTTTTTTCGATAGCGGAGTGACGTATTTTTAACGGTGTCCGAAGGTGGTGTTTGTTACCGTACTTTTTGTATATATAACGATTTTTGCTCAGATGTTCGCGTGTAGTGTTTAAAACGAATTGAATTACCTTAAAAATAAGTGAACCTTGGATTACTTACGTATCGTACGTAAAACTTTCATACCTACGTTCTAAAGGATTGCAAATTTACAACCGCCCCAAACCCTAGCCTCCCCTAATTGCTTTATTTACAAATATACGTAAACTTGTCTAAAATTTGAAGATCACTAAACTACTATTGTTGTTACTTATCGCACCTCGGTCATTGACATTTATCTAAAAATAAATGTTTGTAGTGATCATTTTTTTTTGTTTGGACATCATTCGGGTCTCTTTCCATTGATTCAGGTGGCTAGATTGCAAAAAATTGCACCCTTTGCGCTAGCACGCAATTCTTTTTTCCTCATGTTTTATTCAGCAATTAGCCGATTGTAAATAGTTCCTTAAGAAACAGATTATTTATTTGCTAATCCAGCGCTTTTATAACGATTGCATCTTGCGTTGAGCCATATTCGGCGGTGAACAACCTCGAGTTCAATGGCTTTGCCGCGCCTCCAAACACAAACCGCTTGGGTGCCCAATGGGTTTGCACTAAATAAACGCGTTCATTACGGCCTTGTGTGCCGCTCGTTGCATTTTGCAAAAACTGCAAGGCAATTTCCGTGCACGAGTGCGGCCCTTTCTCGATAAATCCAAAAATTCTTCGACAACTTTTGCGATGGGAGAAGCAAAAAAAACTGTCACAAGGAAGAGAGTTTTTGATGGATCGTTTCAGTTTGTTTTCAAGTCAACGACCCCGGAATATTTTGCGCCACTATCTCGAAAATTGTTTCTATTAAAAACAACCCTCTGTATACGCGAACGATTGGGAAATTTAAACGGTCGATGCGAGAAATTAAAGAGGATGTATCTACCGGCCGCTAAAATTGAATCTTTCATTAATTTCCCTTCGAATTTTTGAAAACCCATATACATGTTATTAGACTCTCGGTTCGTTGACCTCCGAAATTTTCACACGTTTTTTATACGGAGATGCTTGCCGATTTTCCCGTTTTTTTCGTCATTTGTATAATTTAACGAAGTTCTGTGAGAAAGTGAAGATGCTAATCAAAGTGACACCTCCACGAGCGTATGGTATTGTTATATTTTCTTAATTTCCGTCCATTAATAAAACATTATTGCTTAAGAGCTGGAATTTTTTGTGATTATGGATAAAAATGGATTTATGTGGGTCTCACACTAAAAAGCGCATCTTTTTTGTTTTATATGCGCGTCCTTTGCTCAAATTTTGCACAACAATTTCAAATTAAAACGTTCATTATTCAAACCTAGGCTCGCTTATAAATTATTTGGGTTGATCAAAAATCTGTTGTGTCTCCAGGAAGTCCACCAGCTAGAAATACATTCAGGATTGTTTCCAGTGGTCGCTGATTTATTGTAGCCTATATAGGGTGTTTTAAGCACTTATTAATCTATTATCGCTGAACTTGTAAGCAATTTAGAACCTTTTTTCCCAAATAAAATAGAGGTTCCAAATGGGATCCAAAACGTGCGATTCTTCCTTAATTTTTTTTCTCAGGAATCAGATTTACCTGCATTCTAGAGTACCCTTTCTGATCTTAATTAAGGCACTACTGATTAATTGAAATCTATCAATTTTTTTGAATTTTTTTTAAATTTGGCAAAACTAAGTTTAGACCTCATCATATTATACAGGGTGTTTTTTTTTTGGGAGCTTTAGTTAAACGTTTCTAAGAAAGTAAAATAGGTATGTTTTTGAAAATTTGTACTTAGGAGTTACTCTGAAGACCGAATCGATGTAAAATATTTTCAAAATGGCCACATTTCCGGAAACACCGGAAGTAGATAGTAACTTCGTTATATTAAATGGCAACCCGTAAAATTTTAGCTCTTTTGATACCCACATCTCCATATCTGCCATTTATGGTTTTTAAGTTATTTTGACTTTATGAAAAAAAATGGCGGATGCAGATGGTACCTTGATAATTGATTACTTGAAAACGGTTATCAACCCATTTTTATCAGTGTATAGAGAATGAATAGGGCTTTCTTTTAGTGTACTTAAAAAAAAGTTAAGTTGCATACAATCGCACCTATGGAGATCCAAATTTAAGAAACTTCAAAGTCCAAAAACTCAGTTTTTTTAAATGGAATGACCATGTTCTTACTATTGCATGAGATAGAGAATCGAAATTGGAATATTTTGATACTACATGTTTCTATAGCTATCTTTAATATTTTCTGATTTATTCCCATTTCATTGAATTGATGCCATTTTTTTTCGCATTTTCATTTTAGTAGTTGGCCATGATTTTATAACAATCGAATTTTAAACAAATTAAGGAAAGGATACTTTAATATCATTGATTCTAGACTAAATAAGTCATTTATTTAAGGATATAGGACGGAAAATTTTTGAGAAATCTAGACAAAGTCATTCAACTGAATTTCTTAACCAACGTATAAGTATGAATTAAATTCAGAGAGATAATGCGATATCTGTTCTAGCAACAATCAAGTTTTTTATATTTTGCATTGAATTTATTTTGTTAATCTTGCATTTGCAATTCAATTCATTTTCTTAAATATTCTCTTGTAGAGCTTGTGCTTCAAGGGTTTGTAGTACATTTCCAAAATTCATACAATTTCGTTTCAGTGTTCGAATGAATGTACGGCAAGCATGTGCCGCGATTCTGTCCATTTCACCATAAATAACAATTAAATTCCAAAATAGGTGAAACCACTGCGAGTCATTTTTCGATTTTTGAAAAACATGTTAACCTATAACAGTAGGTGACGGATTAGTGTCACTAGAATTGTTTAAAATTCAATTGTTATAAAATCATGGGCGACTACTAAAAAGAAAATTCGAAAAAAATAGTGTCAATTCAATAAAATGCGAATAAGTCAGAAACTGTTAAAGATAGCTATAGGAACATGTATTGTCAAAATATGCCCATTTCGATTCTTTATCTCATGCAATATTAAGAAAATGGTGATTCCATTTAAAAAAAACTGAGTTTTTAAGTCTTTGAAGTTTCATTAATTTGGATAACTTTTTTTAAGTACACTAAAAGAAAGCTGTATTCATTCTATATGCACTGATAAAAATAGGTTGCCATGACTACAACCGTTTTTAAGGAATCAATTATCTCGTCAATTATCAAGGTACCATCTGCATCCGCCATTTTTTTTCTTAAAGTCAAAATAACTAAATAGGTAGGTTTTTGAAAATTTGTACTTAGGAGTTACTCTGAAGGCCGAATCGATGTAAAATATTTTCAAAATGGCCGCACTTCTGGAAATACCGGAAGTAGATAGTAACTTCGTTATTTTAAATGGCAACCCCTATTTTTTATTGCATTTTTGGATTCTACGTGAAATTTCAATTCTATTGATAGGTACCCATATGTCAATATCTGCTATTTACGGTTTTTAAGTTATTTTGACTTTAAGAAAAAAAATTGCGGGTGCAGATGGTACCTTGATAATTGATTACTTGAAAACGGTTGTAGTCATGGCAACCCATTTTTATCAGTGCATAGAGAATGAATAGGGCTTTCTCATTTCAGTTGAACGACTCTGTCTAGATTTTTCAAAAATGTTCCGTCCTTAACAAAAAACTTATTTATGAATGAATTATTTAAAAATTTAAAATTCGATTGTTATAAAATCATGGCCAACTACTAAAAAGAAAATGCAAAAAAAATCGCATTAATTCCTAGATCAATTCAATGAAATGGGAATAAGTCAGAAACTGTTAAAGATAGCTATAGGAACATGTAATATCAAAATATTCTCATGCAATATTAAGAACAGGGTCATTCCATTAAAAAAAAAACTGAGTTTATAGACTTTAAAGTTTTTTAAATTTGGATCTCCATAGGTGCGGTTGTACGCAACTTAACTTTTTTTAGGTACACGAAAAGAAAGCCCTATTCATTCTCTATGCACTGATAAAAATGGGTTGCCATGACTACAACCGTTTTCAAGTAATCAATTATCAAGGTACCGTCTGCATCCGCCATTTTTTTTCTTAAAGTCAAAATAACTTAAAAACCATAAATGGCATATATCGACATTATGTGGGTATCAAAAGAATTGAAATTTCACGCAGAATTCAAAAACCCAATAAAAAATTGGGGTTGCTATTTAAAATAACGTGTTTCCGGAAGTGCGGCCATTTTGAAAATATTTTATATCGATTCGGCCTTCAGCGTAACTCCTAAGTACAAATTTTCAAAAACCTACCTATTTTACTTTCCCAGAAAAGTTTAACTAAAGCTCCCAAAAAAACACCCTGTATAGGGTGCCCCACGACGAATGCCGGTTATCTAGGTATATCACGGAAAGTACACCTCCGAACGCTTTGAAAGTTTAACAATGGGTGTATTATTGCCAGTAAGAGGAATGCATCTACAATTGTTGTATGATGCCAACTTGCTTATTTTAAATTTAACACCCTATGTAGAGGGATTATTCCTTTTTTAGATACTAAGTAAAATTCTATGTACAATAAATTCATCCATAGGTACTGTCCTATACCAAAATTTAGCCGTTTTTGGACATGCCAAAAATGCCCTTTGCGTCCCAAATCATAATTACCATTATTTTTTCTATGTGAGAGTTGTTATTATATAATTGGGCGGGTTACTTTTTAGTAGGCGTTACGATTTAGTGAACTGTGGTGATATTTTCGTTATAAATCAATACAGGTGCTTCATACCAACTACAACACAGAATAGGCACTTTGTATAATATAGTCTTATTCCATTTAAATATAGGGGGTATTTAATATTTTTTCTATTGCAAATATCAAGTGCGGTTTCAATCAAAAATTTAAGTAAATTTACATTCTTAAAAATTATTTATAGTGGCATGTGTCTACCGAGGCGTCTACAGAACTAAGAGTCACTTTTTTATGGACAGCACTAATTTTTGGTGAGGTATTATCTCGGGTATTATTAAAGAATGAACTTTTTTTTTAATATGACTGCTTCTGATACTTTTGTACTTTCCTGGAATTGAAGATATTTTACGTTACTGGACATTTGGAATTTATTATTAATTGCTAGATGGGCAATAAAGCGCCTCTTCCTTCCATGGTTTGGTAGTGAGTTTTTGAATTGAAACAATGGCGTTTTCCTCGACTTTTTCCAATCTCATTCGGATAACATCCTGCATTGCTTGGTACGTCATTGATTGCACGCGTCGATATTCGATAAGTAGTGAATAAAGAGGCATGAACCATATTAAGTTATCATTAACTTCCCGTATTTTGAACTAATAAATAAAGTAGGTACCTACGTTAAAAAAAACATAATTGACACTCCCACCTAATTTTCGTATTATTTAATCAAAAATAGTTCACTTATCAGTGTTTGTTTTGTGAGTGGGATATTATTAAAAAGTAGTTTTACTTCAACCGCCCCGTTACATACGTACATTATCGCTGAATAATAATTTGCAATCCTTTTGCGTACCTTTAAAGAAAGTGTTCACATGTTTAGGTTAGGATGGAGATCGACGTATACGAATTAATCGTTCGTTTTCAAACCGCAAAGCAAAATTTTAGAAACTCGTGCGTTAAGTAAACAAAATGTAGCGCCTCCACATAATCGAGTGAAGCGAATTAAAAAGTGTTATAAACAGACTATTCCGTCCATAAGAGAAATCTCTATACCTATAAACTGCGTACTTAAATGTAAGAGGACTTTGGTTTTTTTTTTCTACAATTTTCTGTGGTCGGCCTGAAGTCGGCCCGCTTGGCCATGCAACGTTCTGCTACTCTGCGTGGCGGAAACAAACGAACGGTTGTTGTGTGGTACAATGGACTCTCTTCAAGAGTTATTTAGAGGTGATGATCATTGGTCGGCCGGCTCGGGAAGAGATACAAGAAGTGGCGGTGGTGATATTTCCTCGTCGGAATCTACCACACCACCACCCTCGTTATCGCAACAGCAGCAGACTCAGAGTTTACTTGATCAACAGCCTCAACAGCAAAACGATGATCGATCGAGAAATGCGAATTCTATTAGAGGTTGGTATTGCAGACTTAGTTTCGTTGGGAAAACTGCAAAACGCATTGCCCAAACTAAAATATGTAGGTACATTTTACGCTTCAAAAACTGCAATATATGTTTTTATTTGGGATTGACGGAAATAGCTAGCTTGGACAATTTGTGCCCAATACGTTTTTTTCTTATTAAATCAAAAAAAGATCTCTGATAATGTGTCCCTCGCTCGGGTATCGTGTAAAAGCAGAAGATATAGTATTAAATTACATATCTGAAATTGTGTATACGTTACCATTGACCCCTCCTTCAAGGTGTCGCGTTTTACGATTATTTCATCAGTTTGATTTTCGATTTCAACGAATACGCAAGACAAGGCAGGTGATTGTAAAAATTATTTCAGGTCTTATCTCGGGTCTTATACTAATCCAATTTTTGATACTGATCTCACACGCGTTAATGATTGGAGATAAATTAGTGAAGGGCCATTTCTGAATTATTTTTAGCGCATTTTTGCAAAAAATTTTTTTTGTAAAAAGTAGCTTTTAATCTCACTTTGGCTGGCTGGCTGGCTGGCTGGCTGGCAGCAAATGTGGGCGCGTAGAAGAACTCTTGTAGAAAGGCAACGGGTGTACGTGTATCTACAGGGCCGTGAAATTTGTCAACCTTAGGGACATGGCTACATGATGTGGGGTTGGCGACATCTGGGCGTCATCCTCGAGCGTAGTATACTAACGTGAAGGTTTTTCAGTTTTTTCCTATCTTCTACTACAGTTTTGGTCCGATTCTTTTCAAATTGGTGTCGTCGGAAAGATGTTGTAAACGCGCACAACTCCTGCGTGGCGGAATTTTGTTTTTTGTCATAGGGGCGAAATTAACGACCTTTTGCGAGGCGGCGCGCGCGTCTTCGAGAAGTAGTCAGGCGCCTTTTACCTTCCGTTGCGAACTCACGCGGTTTAACGTTTCGTCTTTCGTGAATCTCGAATCGCTGTCTCTCTTTCTCGTGTCGCCAATAGAAGTGAATTGCGAGTGAACGGGACGTCGGAAGTGGGTCCCGTAAAAGAGAATGTGGTAGCCCGCGACACGATCTCACTGATGGTGGAGTCAAATCTTCAAACGCGAATTGCGGGTGAACGGGACGTCGGAAGGGGGTACCGTCAACGGGAATGTGGTAGCCCCCGACACGATCTTCCTGATGGTGGAGTCAAATCTTCAAACGCGAATTGCGGGTGAACGGAACGTCGGAAGTGGGTACCGTCAAAGGGAATGTGGTAGCCCGCGACACGATTTTACTGATGGTGGAGTCAAATCTTCAAACGCGAATTGCGGGTGAACGGGACGTCGGAAGGGGGTACCGTCAAAGGAAATGTGGTAGCCCCCGACACGATCTCACTGATGGTGGAGTCAAATCTTCAAACGCGAATTGCGNGGTGCACGAGGAAAGTGGGAAGCGGTTAGTGAATGTAGTAGCCTTCGACAAGATCTGTTATTGATGGTTGAATCGAAAGTGGCTAATAGAATACTGATCTGCCACACAAAAATGCGCTGAAGTCCCTTCGATCTCAAACGAGGACTTTGATAATTTTTTTGTAATTTGACGCTCACTAGCCGTCAGTTGACACTCACTTTCTGTTATTGTCCAAATAGTGTCATTATCAATCAGAAAGCGTCAATAGACAAATGGCAACTGTCAATTAATAAACACTAGCGTTGGTGTCATTGACAGGTACTATGCGATCAAAAATGAGTTGCTGTCGAGTTACCTTTGGAATTTTTGTTTACATGGGAAATCGTACTTAACTTGAACTTCCAAAGGCGACTCGACAGCAACTCATTTTTGATCGCCCGTTACAACATGTCAATACTTTAACAAATAATTCACAGATAACTTGTTTGTAGGGGTAATCTGTGATAGTACCCGTACCCACACCAAATTTTTGGAGAGGGATTATTAATCATAATTCAGGAACCTGGGGAGTGTAATACATAATACTCGTCGTTTTTCGAGAATATAGCACGAGGAGGAGGTTGCGGGGAATAGAATACCTGTACGTAGTGCCCATGCCATTTTACACTATAATTTTTGTGAAAGAGATCATCGAACATAACACCAGTAGTCTGTAGAAGCAAAAGATTCGATGAAAAAGTCTTACCAGAGTCTAGAGCGGTATACGTTTTGAGCCGGATGGTGGCACCGGGAGGTTTGGGGGTATGGAACATCTCCCAGTATACGAAGATACTGATACTGACAGTTGTAGGGGATGAAACATCGAATCTTTCTTTTCATGGAAGGAGTATTCCATACTCCTCAGATCCCCCGGTTGTAATTGTTTTCCCAAAACTTGTGGGTCTAGAAAAATATTTGCTGGTATTTTATGGAACAGTTCTGAGGGCTGTTTTGAGGGAGAAGGTAGTACCGGGGGTTCTGGACATGCATAATGAGGTATTAAACGTCAATTGACAAATATCGTCCTCTTGCCCTTTTTGCTTACGTTACGTTGTCACAAATTCACACTTGATTTTTTTATATGTGCAAAATTAGTGCAGTCTGATTTTCATAAATCAGAATTATTTTCATTTTCAAGCATGATCTAATAAGAATAAGCCATAAGGCAATGTTAAAGACGTATTTGTGTATTTATTGATCTTTGATAAATAATTAACAATTCAAAGGAATTGATTTGGTCGTATTCCATTGGGTGGAAATTCAACTTTTCAATGTAATTTAATAATCTTTAACAGTACTTTTAGTTTTTGTTAGATGCGATGACTATTAAAATATTTGCATCCTGAAGGAATCTCGGGAATTTAATTATGGAAATAATTTTTGCGTATATTACATTCTATTTTCGTCGACTTTCTATCGATGAACCACTGAAAATTACAGCATTTTCTTTCTTTTTTTCCAGCGCAAATCGAAATAATCCCATGTAAAGTATGTGGCGATAAAAGCAGCGGAGTTCATTATGGCGTTATAACTTGCGAAGGATGCAAAGGATTCTTTAGAAGATCTCAAAGCTCGGTTGTGAACTACCAGTGTCCTCGAAATAAGAACTGTGTTGTTGATCGAGTCAATAGGAATCGCTGCCAATACTGTCGCCTTCAAAAATGTCTGCGACTGGGCATGAGTCGAGACGGTAAGTTTTATTATCTCTAGAATACTTTCCTATTGATTGTCAAAACATTTTGTTTGTGTATTGATGAAACAGATTGTTGTGTGTGAGCGTTTAGTGTAGATATATCCCAGTTTATTGGAGGGTAGCATCAAATTTGTCAATTCAACACTACCGTCCATGTTGGACTTCGTGCGCTCGTTGAGCATTATAACGCAACTAAAAGAAAATATTGACAGATGTCTTGATGTAATCATGGCATTTGAGTGTTTTTCTCAGGAAGAACAACTGCACTCCACGGCTGTCGAATCTGGTTTGACATCAAAGGGAGTATTTCTCCCAAAAAATTGAATTTCTCGTTCCTCAAGTTTAAAAAAATACCATTGCCTTGGAGACCTTATTAATTCCATAGGCGGCCAGTGAGTTGGAAACATTAGGGGTTCAATTTACACCCACACGTGAATCAGTGATAATAGTACACGCTAGTTGCATTCATATGGGATCAAAGTTACTATTTTACACCAGTACAAAATCGGGAAATAAACCAATCAGCATATGGCCACAGGTACTTTGTACGAGCTTTGTAGCTTCGCCCAGTCGCCATGTTGCATCAAAAATTCATTGTAATGTAGGCAACACACAATATAAAGAGTGGCCAAACTCGAAGTTTACAGAGGGCTTTTAGGGTATTAAATTTAGAAATTTCGAAAAATCCTCGAACACGTCAATTTTGTATTCGAGGGGGACAACTTTTGGAATATAAATCACGAACCCAAGTCTTCACCCCTCTACGTAGGGAGCTTAACTCCTAAAATTTTAAATGGAATCCTATGGCAAATGGCACATTATTTGAAAGCCAATGTAATCGTGATTACGAATCTGGTTTGTTTTTTAAATTCTATTGATTCGTTTCGGAGATATTCGCATTTAAAATGGGTTTTCCCCTGATTTAAGTCCTTTCGATTACTTCTTGTGGGGTATTTAAAGAATAAAGTTTATGCTACTCCGCCCGGAACATTACAAGGGTTGCGAGCACGTATAACCATAGTGAAAGAATAGAATACACTATGGTATAACTCAACCATTTCGAGCGATTACCCCTGAAATCTTGCAACATGTACGGCAGCGTTTTGAAGCAAATCTTTATTATTGCATGGAAGCAGGCGGAAGGCAATTCGAGCATTTATTGAAATAAATGTTGTGTGTTTAAAGTTATTTGTTATTTTTTACACAATTTAAACCTTTTTTAATACAAGGTGACTTACATCGCATTTGCTTTGGTTTTTTTAGAAAAACCAATTCAAATGCAAATATCTCCGAAACGAATCAATAGAATTAAAAAAGCGAAGCAGATTAGTAATCACGATTAAATTGACTTTCAAATAATGTGCCATGTGCCATAGGATTCCATTTAAAATTTTAGGGGGGGGGCTCCCTACGTAGAGGGGTGAAGACTTGGGTTCGTGATTTGTATTCCAAAAGTTGTCCCTCTGGAATACAAAATTGAGGTGTTCGAGGATTTTTCGAAATTTCTAAATTTAATACCCTAAAAGTCCTCTGTATACTTCTCGTTGGGCCACTCTGTATAATAATAGTACATGTAGCAGGAACTCGATGCAACATGGCCGCCGATCTCAACAACTAATCAAAAATTACGCACTACTCTATTGTTGCCACTGTTTCGTATAAAGTTACTGTATACCTAAATGTGTTAACCATGAAATGCGTAAGTTTAACAGTCTCTTTGTGTAGATCTGTGCCTAAAAACGGGAAATAATTGAAAATGCCAAGGCACTGACGTGGAAATAAACAAGTACAAATTGTGCATTTTTTTAAACCAAAATAGCTCAGTAAATGATTGGGTTATAACTGTTATAAGGTTGTACCATACTAAGTTTATCGATGTTCACCTTCTTGCCAGATGATTAATGAGGAGGGGGGCCCTTTACACATAAATATTTCCCCTTCTTCGACACTATGTTCTGCAAATAGTTTTGATGGATATATTTCTTCCAGGCGTCCCAATGAAGGATACAACCAATCCCCCCCCCCCTGCCATTTTGATAAAAGGTGAGGGAGAAGGGCAGTAGTTGGTAGAAAACTTCCTTTCGTTCAGACCTTTAATTTAGAATACCATGAAAATAAACATCGGGAAATAATTTACTTTTTGTTGTTTTTGTCTTCGATCGCCATCTTTTTCAACGTTTTCTTAGCCATCGTAGTTTTGTTGTTTTAGTTTTAGCCGTTTTGATTCCGGAGATATGGGGGGGGGGGGGGGGGGGATTTTAACATGGTTTCTATATTTCTTCGTTTCTCCATTTTGAGGGATGGAGAGTGAATTTGACATTTTAATTGAAATGATGCTCTTTTGTTTTTAAAATTCGAATGTAGGTACATAAAGAACTACGTATGTGCATGGAAGCAATTAAACAAAAAAATATTAGCGTATACGTAGTTTTTTTATGTAGATTCGAATTTTAAAATCATTTAAATTGCAAGGTTACCCCGAACCCTAAAAATTGAGAATTTTTTTTTTTAAATATGTTAGAATTTTCCTCTCATATCCTTATTAAGTTACCAAAACTTCATAACAATATTAAAGACCGTTTTCGAGATATCGCCTTGTCACGCTTTAAACAAACTGGCCCTGTATAAAAGTGAATTTTTATAAACAATTTATACTTCAATGATATCCATGAGATCTGTATACTCATACATCCAGTCAAGCACTGCGATCTCATAAAATAAACGCAAGCTCTACTCGATAATCTATAATGCAAAAAAGATGTACAGTGTGTCCTATTGTGGTTGAAAGTTGAAGTGTATGACAGCTGTTTTTAAAGATAGGAACTTGCGGTTTTCAGCACCATGTGCCAGTTTTTTAGGAAACTATTAATACCGCAAACAGAATTTTTGTTTCTAAGATACAGGGTAAAACGAAAAGTTTGACTTTTTGATATATTACCATATCTTACTACCCATGATGTAACAGATAAAATAAGGTAAAACTGTCTATTTTAGAAACTTTTACGTAGAATCCAGTGGAGTAGCCAAAAATAGTTTGGACCACTTTTTGTGAGATTTGATTTAAAATTGGTATTTTTTAGATCGAACACTATATTTTAACGTCGATTTTTTGCATTCTTTTTCCTGATTACATTGATGTAGGTATCGTAACATATATCATACTTCATTTCTATTGATTGGTATCAATGGATACAAATATAAACAAAATAAAATAATCGATGGCCTAATATGTATACAAAATTTGTTTATAATCGTTTAGGCCGTTTAGCCGGAAAGGGGAGTACAAGCAGACAGACGATCGACATAATCCAGATGTTGTTTGATTCGGATTCCTGGTGCATCAAAAAGTGTATTTCCGTAAAAAAAAGCGGAAGGGGGGGGGAATATTTTACCCCAATGCGGGTGATAATAAGGTTTTCATGGCTCAGATTAAAAAAGTTCTCGTGTGAGATCGAAGGGCCTTTATCGCATTTTTGTGTGGCAGATCAATATTCTATTAGCCAGTTTTGACTCCACTGTCAGTAAGATCTTGTCGAAGGCTACCACATTCTCTTTGTCGGTACCCGCTTTCGACGTCCCGTTCACCTGCAATTCGCATTTTAGTGGATTTCGCTCAATTTTTGGGGCATTTATAGCTCGAGTTTCTATTGGCGACGCGAGAAAAAGAGACCCATGATTCGAGCTTTTGGGCACCGAAAGTCGACTACCCATCGCCTTGCAAAAGGTGGTTAATTTTACTCTTAGAAAAAAAAACAAAATTCCGTCACGCAAGAGTTGTGCGCTTGTACAAGATTTTTCCGACGACGACACCAATTTGAAATCAATCGGACCAACACTACAGAAGAAAATAGGATAAAACTGAAAAATCACCACGCTTAGTAGATGGCGCCCAGATGTCGCCAACCCTACATCATGCAGTCTCGTCCCTAAGGCCTAAAGTTAATTACACGGCCCCGATAGCTACATGTACAGTCCTCGTTTTTATACAAGCGTTCTTCAATGGGCTCGTATTTGCCGCCAGCTGGCCGGCTACCTTTTTACAAATAAATTTGCAAAAGCCAAAAGAGCACTAAAAATATTGGTTGTGATACATCAATGTGATTGGGAAAATGAAAAATAATTGACGTTAAGATGTACAGGGTGTTGCATTTAAAAATACCAACGTTGCGTGAAATCTCAGAAACTGTGGTCCAAATAAAATTATTTCATGTGATGTAAGGTTGATTGTAAAACGCGCATAACTTTTACATGAAACAACTAACTGGTCTCAGAATTTGTACGCATGCTTTTAGTGGTGCTCAGTAAAATTTTTGAAAAGGGAAGGGGGCGGGGGGTGAACACGTTCTACCCTTCATGGCATTTTAATGAAAAGTAACACTTTCTCATTGCCACTTTTTGAGCGTTGAGAGATTTTCAATACAACGTTTCGTTTCGGAGAAATCATCAACTTAATTTTTTTTAATGACTGTAAAAAAAGTACGTACCGTATTGCGTAGCATTTTGGGTACCTATTGTAATGGTACCAGTATATTTATATGCTTCTGTTTATGGCTTTATCGGTGTACTTCCAAGAAACACTAACTTTCGTAATTATGAACCAATTTCGACCAAACTTTAAGGGTTGGTGTAACTCATAAATATCTTGGTCAAGATCGTGAATCAGCCAGTTCCGCCAAATTGGAACAAAATTGCGAACACTGATAGAAATCTACCTAAACTGTTCATTGCAACAGGATGGTGCACCCGCACACAACGCCATAATCGTGCAAAAATACCTATCAACATTTTTTTTCTATTTTCCAGGTTCACTACATAATCTTGCTTTTTTTGTGTCCCGTATATCGTTGCATTCGTATTAAACACTATTCAATACAGTGTGTACTTTTTTTACGGGCCATATAAAATAATAAAGTTGATGATTTCTCCAAAATGAAACGTTGTATTGAAAATCTCTCAACAGTGTCTTGTAGAGCTCAAAAAGTCGCAATAACATCAGAAAAAAAAACGAAATTGGCAAATTTCGGTTTTTCTGGCATATCTTCGAATAATCAGAATTTCTTTCATTCTTTAATGCGTGATAATAAATTGCGCGACTTTTCTTTAATTTGACCATCGCCGTATCTTCTATAGTTTCAGAGATCCTAATGATCGACATCCTTATCTTGGACACAGTGTATAATTCCATGAAGACACGAGTACTAGCAACTAAATTTTACCAAAGATCGTATGTCAAAAGATTTACAGTTGTGGCCTCTTACCTAACCTCATGGTGTTATTGTGTGACTGTGGCACTGTGTTATATTAAATAATGTTTCAGGAAAAGATTTTTGACTTCTGTTAATTAGATATTAGATTGAAATGATTTGGTTATAACAGAAATTTGTGTACAATGACGCTTTGGAACGCGCCTGCGAGTTATGTTACTTGCACAACTTCGAAGTACTATTATTGAAACCTTTACTTATCATCATCTTAAAAATACTACATTATTTAATTTATTAATGCATTAAAAACTTGATTATTGTTACAGCGGTAAAGTTTGGGCGAATGTCAAAAAAACAGAGGGAGAAAGTGGAAGATGAAGTTCGATTTCACAGAGCACAGTTAAGGGCGCAAAGCGACTCGGCACCCGACAGTTCCGTTTTCGAACAGCAAACACCATCTAGTAGCGATCAATTACATTATAATGGAGGGTAATTATCGGCTTAGATCTACTACTTAGTGTTTGTCTCTTATTCTCGTTTTAAAGGTACGCCTACAACAGTGAGGTCGGTACGTACACGCCCACGTACTACACGAATACGAATCAAGTACAGGCAAACTCGATGGGATACGACATATCTGCCGATTATGTAGATAGCACGACAGCGTACGATCCACGACCGAGCCTGGATGCGCTAAGCGATACCGGAAGTCTAATGGCAAATGTTGTTACGACGGGTATTGTATACTTTTTATTAATAATTTAAATATTGATCTGTAAATAATTGTCAAAATGTAATTTGGGTTAATGGTGTAGGGAATGTTAATTCGAGTAATGGTGGAAGTGGTGGTGGTGGTGGTGGTAGTGGAAAACAAACAATTTCGATATCAGACACGCGCGCTTTTAAACGGGTAACACAAACTTCTTCTAATACGACACTGTCCGGCGGTACAATGGTATCTATTAAACAAGAGGGTGCAACTCAAGATAATTTGGTTCCGGGTTACGTTGACAGTACTACGTTTATTAGTTCACCTAACGTGCAACAGACAAATGTACGGCAAGGCAATACTCAAAATGTCCAACAACGAAGCGGTGATGATTGCGAACCTGTGTCATTACCCAGTAAGTTTGATGTATGTATTTGTAAAAGAATATTTGTCGGTTGCGTTTGTGTTGCTTGTGTATTTGTAGTCTGAGTAAAAAGATAAAAAAGGAGGTAATTCGAATCACTTCCTTATAATCTTTTTTCTCAATATTGTAACTTAAGGGGAATAGGGATAGGCAACACATAATACAAAGTTGTACAGCAATTGCAGAGATGAGCCTTAATACAAAGATCTTGAAAAAGAAAACCTACACAATTAGCAAATGAAAAACTGTTTTTGGAAACTTGTTTCCTAAGAAAATGTAGGCAACTCACATAAGCTCTTTCCTTGTACTGACCTTCACAACTTTAGTTAGTTAGGTACTTTATTAGAAATGCAAAAGAGGCTCATACATATGGATTAATTGAAGTAGGTAGCGAAATACTTTTGAATAATAGAAGTACGCTAATACCGTTTTTTTAGGAACGTTTGTTTACCGTTATACTGACTGAATGGTATATCTTTATGCAACTTACTGTATACAAAAATGTGAAAAAAGTTTGGGATCAAGAACAAACTTCAGCAAAAATTAAACATAAAGGAGAAGTAGTGGCCAAAGGATAAAGAAAAATTAGAGGAAAGAGGGATAGAATTGGAAAAAGGGGTTGAAAAACAAGAGAAGAACTAACATAATATCAAAGAAGTTCTTCTTACACAAGAACTCCTACGCAGACAAAAAAGGTCAATAAAACACGTAAAAAACATAAAAAAGGTAATAGGACAATGCAATCAAATACAAAAATAGAACATATGAAGCATAAACGCGAAAGAGTGAGAACTTGAGCAGGTGTTTGAGAAAGAAGATTCGGATGCACTTGTCATAACTGAAACCGAGAAGACCGAACGAAAACAAGATATCCTAAGCAAAAAAGAAAGCAATATGATGTATACTCAGACAACATCAACAATATAAAGACGGGTTTCAATGGGAAGAGAGCCAAATGACAACAATTATATTAACGTGGTCCAAATGAGGATGAGATAGTAGAAACAAAAGAGTAATACTGGGGGGGATTAAACCATTTGGTCAAATAGTCAAAGAGATGTCTAGTACTAGGAGATACAAATTGTGGGATTGAAAAAACAACAATGACATATTGGAGGTACTGGGACTATATGAAGAAAACCATATGGAAACAGATCAATAGACTTTTGTGTGGGAAATGGAATGGAGACATTCTTTAAGACTGCATGACACTATGCATTTTCTTGTCTCTTTTTTAACATCAAGAAAAAAATGTATAGTATCGTACAGCAAAGAGATTTGTGTTTGCCATAGTTTCGTGTACAAGAATCCCATTTCTGTGCAAAGGCGTAAAACGTGACCTCGATCATTGGGTTTTGTTGTTATTCATAAATAAAGAAGTGATTTATTTATGGTTTTTAATTACAAAAGATTTGTTAAATACAATTTTATATGTGACATTACGATCTATCTGATTATATATGCAAACTTCCGGTTTAACCGGAAATCGATGCAACTTTAGTTTTTCAAATGCAATGCCTATGTTTTTTATGATATTTGAAAAGAGGAATCAATTTTCTGTACTACAAAATTTATGAAATCTAGCATGCCGTGTGCAGTATTATACAGAAAAGACCTACAATAACTTGTTCAATGTTTTGTTTTTAAGATTTAATATTTAATAACGAATTAGTAGAGATATACTACGAGATACTAGATGTGACAACTGGAAGAGGACTAGATACACATATACAGCAACTAAACTACATGGTTCTAGGTAAAATAAAATTGGAAACGGAAGCTCACACAAAACAACAAGAAATTACCGCAACACAGGTGGCAATGAGAGTAGAGGAGATAGCGGAAGGCCCAAGAGAGACTGACATAAAAATGCAGACGAAATCAAATTACAAGGAATGTATAAATAGCAGCAAAGTAAAATTAGAAAATATATTAGATGATGGAAGAGAAAGTTAAGATAGAGGTAAAAATGGAGAAAGAAAAATGGAAAAATGTATCTAAGCAAAAAACCGAAGATAAATACAAGGAATATATTACTAGGGCAATTCTTAAACCAATTATGGAAATGAAAGCTGGGTGTTGTCTTTCTTTTAAAGGGACAATTAGCCTTCTATGAGAAAGTAGAAAAGATACTTCGTTATTTTAAATGCCATTTTTATTCCACATTTAGATTCCTTTTTGAAAATAAAGGCGAGTTTATTAAACAATATCTATGGCAATCTTTGACCGTTTATATTTGTATTTTAACAAAAAAATTGACAGATATGGTCTGGGTACTTCGTGTTACTGCCCTGATTTGATCCGGTCTTAAGAATCGGAAGGCATTATGAACTTGTTCCAACATATTTTCTTGTGTTGTGTTATTTTTGTAGACTGCTTGTTTAATATGCTCCCACAAGAAATTCCAGCAGGCCACATGTGTGGACCATTATTGCCAAACCATCTATGTTCAAGCAAAGTATCAAGCTTTCTTTCAACTATGTTATAATTGTGGGCCGGAGCGCCATCCTGTTGGTACCAGACTTTGATCCGCTGTTGAAGAAGCAAATTGTCAAGCGTATTGTCCACAGCTGTATTCAAAATATCGAACCTCATTTAAATTTTCCTCATAGATAACATAGCAAAAAACTTGGTCGTCTTTCAAAGCACAGAAGACAACGAAACGCCACACATCTTGGGACATTTTTCTCTCACTACGTAAGGGTTTTCCGTTGTCCCGTTGATAAACGTGATATATCGAAATGTTTTCCAGCATCATCGTTAATGGATGCGGTTGGATGCGCTTCAAAAAATGCCAAAACATTGATTACCATATCTATACTGTATTCATTTTAAGAAGGTAGCGATAAAAGGCATAGGGAAGCTTTGACCTTGAGTGTGATTGGTTAAAACACGAGTCAGTATTACACTGAAACATAAAACGAGTGGCGAATTTTGCAAGCTGTTAGTTTTTATTGTCAACTAAACTCTTGAAGTGTCATTAGCTGTTAATGTCAAAGATTTATTTCTGTTTGCAGTATTGGATATTTCTACTTTACAATAATTTGGTGCCGTTTTATATTTTTCCTGTGTGTACTTGTCTTCAAGCACAGCGCCATCTACTACCTTCTTATAATGAATGCAGTATACAGGGTGTCCCTAAAAGGTCTGTACAACGCGCTACCAGGGGTTCTTGGTATCAAAATAGGACGATTTAACCCAACTTACCTCTATCCAAAAGTGCTTCGGTAAGGCGCTATCTACCGCCAAAGATTTAAAAAAAAAAATCGTTATTTTTATTTTATCGGAAAATGGTTTTGCCGATTAAAATGAAATTCGGGATGTGAATGTCTAATGTAAAAAGGGTCTTTGTGATATCATCGTTTTGATTGTAGTTGCTATGTAGGTGGTAAAATACTGACCATCCACATCTGAAGAGGTCTAAAACTTTTTAACTACTATTTTGACGGTTCTGAATTTTTAGACACTGATAGACAGTTTACTTGCAAGCATTTTTTGTCTCTTGATGAATATCGCTATCTGTGATGGTTTACGAAAAAAAAAAAATTTAGGCATGATGAATGGCATGCACCATACATGCGATTGTTCCTCAAAAACCATAAGTGCAAGCAAGAAGTAGGCTATGACGATTTGGAAACCTGTGAGTATACTCCCTAACGCATTGGCGACCATTTCCACGACAGTATCCAAACACTAATAGCATATCAGTTAACTCTGCGTTACTGTATTGAAAGGCCATATTACATTTTAACAATGAAATTTTAAGTCTTCAAGCAAAACGTAAATTGTTCAAGTTTAAGAAACAACAAACAAACGTTACGCCACTCTAAGGTTTCACAGCCATCTTCTGATTTTTTGAGGAACAATCGCATGTATGGTGCATGCCATTCATCATGCCTAAATTTTTTTTTTTTTCGTAAACCATCACAGATAGCGATATTCATCAAGAGACAAAAAATGCTTGCAAGTAAACTGTCTATCAGTGTCTAAAAATTCAGAACCGTCAAAATAGTAGTTAAAAAGTTTTAGACCTCTTCAGATGTGGATGGTCAGTATTTTACCACCTACATAGCAACTACAATCAAAACGATGATATCACAAAGACCCTTTTTACATTAGACATTCACATCCCGAATTTCATTTTAATCGGCAAAACCATTTTCCGATAAAATAAAAATAACGATTTTTTTTTTAAATCTTTGGCGGTAGATAGCGCCTTACCGAGGCACTTTTGGATAGAGGTAAGTTGGGTTAAATCGTCCTATTTTGATACCAAGAACCCCTGGTAGCGCGTTGTACAGACCTTTTAGGGACACCCTGTATATCTCCTGTTACAGTATTCTGCCTGGCCCTTTTGGCAGTAAAACTTCCCGAACTTTGGCGATTTTTCAAGTACAATTTACGTTCTTTTGGTATTCTCCATAAATTATTATTAAGCCATAACTTAAAATTCAAAAGAAGACCACTGCCTGGTTTGACAGATATTATTCATTGAAATTTCCATGGCAATCGTGATTTGTTTTGTGCTTGCAATTTGCCTCTTCAACAACGGATGAAGATATGGTAGCAATAAGACCGCGCTCCGGCCCACAATTATGGCTTAGTTGGAAGAAAGCTTGATATTTTGTTTGAAGATAGGTCGCTTTGCAAGAATAGTCCACACATGTGACTCCCTAGGTCTATGGATTTGACGCCTAGCCTTTATGCTTTCCAATCTCAGTCTCTTAATGTTCTTCTATGTGTATTTAATTCTTTTCTTTTTTTGCCTTTATTAAGAAAAATGTGAATAACTTCAAAACTACCAATTTTACGTATAATAATAATAATATTTATTATACTGTTATTCGTGTGGGCACACTTACGGACGTCATTAGAAAAATATTACAAACAACATACAAAGGTACATTTAAAACTAACTAACAAAAGAAGATAACAGAGTAAGATTTAAGTATGACAAAATTGTCACTATTTTACAAAAGTAGTTTATTTCCGAGAACTTTTGTGATATAAGCGTATTATTTCCACTTTCCCATATAAGGCTAATTGTCCCTTTAAAAGAAAGACTTTGTATATGTACACTTTCCCCAATAAGTGGCCGTTATGGTTAATATATATTTCATAGAACATTTTTTTTACCATTACGAAAATATAACATTGAGAGATTTATCACTATAATATTTACCTATCAAACTTCATTCTGATGTCTCTTAAAACTCCCGAGAGCAGTTCCACATTTTTGCTCATCTCTGTTATATTGTAATTGACAAATTATGTATATATTTATACGTAATAGTTCTGAATTGAATTTTTGTTGGAAAATATCTTGGACCAAAAGGTAACCTTTTTTAAATTGACAGGCTATCAAACCACAAGAACAGAAAAAATACTAATGGATTCAAAACTAAAGATACTCCAATTTAAAAATATACAGGGCTATTACAAATAATGTTCACAATTGCAAGTAATTTTATTTATCATACAAACACATTTTGTGTCCCTATTTGCTGTCTCTATCCCTCTTAAGGGAATACATGTGTAAATATCACGTAAGAAATGGTATGAACTATAGAAGTATTAAATGGAAAAATAAAAATTTCCAGTGGGAAGTGGTAGTAAGTATTGCTCGCTTGGGTTGGTGTGCTAACTTTTTATCTCGATCGGCACGAACAGAATTTAGATATCCCAAGCTGCTTCTGAAAACGACTCAATTTAAGAAATTCTCTCTAGGTGATCCATATTTATCTCTGTGCAATTACAACTTGTACCAGTAACATACACCATTTAACTGTAAGAAAAGTATGGTACATCCCTAAAATAAATAAAATATAGGATTTTTCACAGGCACGATTTTCAGAATAAAAAACGTTCAAGGCGCTAATGGCCACTAGAAAAAATAAGATATCACTTATTCTGATAATGGGAGAAAAATGCAATAAAGTCAATTCAATAGAGATCTAGTCTTGAAGAATTTTTGACAGTCTTTAGCAACTAAAAAAATAATTTAATGAGTAATGATTACATTATTGGGGTTGGGAGAGCTGTGTTGTCAAATCAACATCACAAAGTTACTACCCATATCACAACTTTGCACTTTGGGCATGTTTAGAATGGGAATAGGTGATGTTTAGAATGGGGATAGGTGAAAAGATTATGATTCCTCCACTTAGCGTTTTAACGTTCTCAAAATCGTGTCTGTGTTTTACAGTATATCAGAGTTTACGTATTTAAAAAATTGTTCTTCACCAGATCCCAGCCAGATATCCGAGTTGCTAGCGAAGACAATATCAGACGCACACGCACGCACATGCCTGTATTCCCTCGAACATATACACGAAATGTTCCGTAAGCCAAACGACTTATCAAGATTGCTGTACTATAAGAATATGGCTCACGAAGAACTTTGGCTCGAATGTGCTCAAAAACTTACGACAGTAATTCAGCAAATAATCGAATTTGCGAAGATGGTGCCTGGGTTTATGAAACTCTCACAAGACGATCAAATCGTACTTCTTAAAGCAGGTTCGTAAATGTTCGATGTTACAGGTGGCGCAGTCGTACTAATTTTTTTCTTTTTTGTCAAACAGGCAGCTTTGAGTTAGCAATTTTGCGAATGTCAAGATATTTAGACTTATCGCAGAATTGCGTTTTGTATGGGGATACAATGTTGCCACAAGACGCCTTCTTTACATCAGATACGGCCGAGATGAAATTAGTCACATGTGTGTTTGAAATTGCCAAGAGTATAGCCGAACTTAAATTAACAGAGACTGAACTTGCTTTATACTCTGCGTGTGTGCTTTTATCACCAGGTCAGACGGCCCCCTTGCACCACTTCAGTCTCCATTTTCAATATGTATTTTCTTTTAGATCGGCCGGGCTTGAAGGGAATAGGTGAAATCAGTCGACTTAGTCAGGCAGTTATACGTGCTTTAAGAATAGAACTTGAAAAGAATCATTCGCTTCCTATCAAGGGTGATGTGACTGTTTGTGATGCCTTGTTGACTAAAATTCCTACACTAAGGTAATTTAATCGTACTTTGTTGTATTTCTGCAAATGCTTTTTTTTTATTGTAGAGAAATAAGTATGTTACATATGGACGCGTTAGGAAAGTTAAAACGATCCGCTCCTCATTTAGAATTTCCAGCACTTCACAAAGAACTTTTTAGTGTAGATAGTTGAGAATTTTCATCTTCTCCTGAACTGTAGAAAGCAGCCTTGCGCAACACGGTAAGAGCATAGGTAAGATTTACACAATTTCAGATAGGTCAATTTGCTGACTATAATAAAGTTATAAAAAAAAATTCATTTTGCAATAATATAAAGCAGTAAAAGCATTTTATTTTTCTGTTGTTGGAAGTATAAATCACTTTAGACTAGCACCCTCAAAGATGGTCGGCGCTTTAGTGGTGATAATTGGAATTTTAGAACTTTTCTTTCCATTTGCGGTGTTTGTTATCGATGCATGTTTATTATTCTCAGCTCTTGGGTGAGGGTTATGGTATTCTTTATCTTACGTTCTTTGGAAGTCGGAATAAGGTCTTGAATCTTTCTGGAAACGGTATCTTGTGGCATGCCTAGTTTGTATTAAGGTCCATTTTGTGGATGGATGTGCCATTTGATTTGACCATGATTGTTTGGACAATACTTTTAATAGAGCCCTGCCTTGTTTTATTACATGCAGTGCATAATTTTTCACTCTGAACATACAAATCTATGTTGAATTCTTAAATATACAAGGCAAATATCCCTTAAAATATGCAACCAATTTTTCTTACTATCATCTTTTCAATAAACGTCACTGAGTTATTTATTATATTCCGAATAAAATGTATGCAAATGCAAAACCAAATCGGCCAAATGCTACACATTTTTTGTTTGTACCTCTATGTGTAAGGTGGGTTGCATAACAGTCAGGCATATCAATACATTGACTTGTAATCAAAGAGTATCCATAATAAGAGATACAGCGCAATGGTATAAACGCGTGTTGGCTATAAGAACTCGCCCGCTAGGATTCCAAAAGCGGGCCCTCGCGTAGAGGTGGCCAGAACTAACCGCCTCTTTAAATATTGGCGCGTATTGAAAATTTACAGAATTCTTTATAGAATTTCGGTTTAAAATATTTGCGCGGTTGTCACATTTAATTTTCTTTCTTATTGGCTGTATAAAATGTGGACACGATATAATTAGAAAACATTACTTAAGTATAAAAGAAATCAGCAACGATTCAGTACCTATTGTTAATTACATTGGTATTTTCCTGTTTAGTTGGCGTCTATTGAATAGACAGTAATTACTATTTAATTGAATAACCAATAACAGGTACACAATTGTAAAAATGTAAATTAAATTTGTTATTATCCATCCTTTTTAGATTGTCTCCTACAATCAAATTAAAGTGGACAATATATTTCATAAAATGCACTAGCAAATTGGATTTTATGATGAGCATAGCGATTATTTTACAGGAAATTTTGTTTGCTTTAATTTTGTATAGATGCCTACATACGCTGAGTTGTTTAATCATTAACAATCAATCATTACAATGCAATAATCCTTATGTCCTCAGAAAAAAAAACATCAGTCTAATCCAATAATCAGTCAAACTATATAGTGCAGTTAAATAATAAATTAATAAATCTGCACCCGTCGAATAAATTTAATTAAATATTTACACGTTATTCTCATTTAAACAATTTAATTAAAAAAATACTCTCGACCCGCATTTTAAGCTGCAGCACTAGCGCGCATCGGTCTCCTAGCAACTAAGCTTCGTACACATGTTTTTCAGTCACCATTGGCTAGCGGAAAAAACACAAGTATATGTATTTAAATTTGCCGCTCAACTTGAGCCACCATGCATTCTGCTATAGTGATTCATCCATCTAAACGATTGATAATGCAGTGTATGTTCTTATTTTTGAAAACAACATTTTCTTCCACTCCAAATATAGGGTTTATATCTCCGGAATGCGTGGGTCGATCGGAGTGAAATGTAATGAGATTAAAGGGGACATTAGTCACATCGACTGGTAAAAATATGGTCCAAATCGGCCAAGTAGTTTTTCAGTTATCGCAAAGAACCCATTTTTAAGGAGGTAGGGTTGCGTTGGTCCACAGATATCATTTTTAACTGATTTGAACCATTCGATCACAACTATAATCCAATGGAGGCAGTTTATTTTGTTTTTATTATATTGTTTGGCCAGCAAAAATTAAAAAGTGAAACATTTTTTCCGGGAATCTTTCATTCTCTTATTATTTATACAATAAATATCTTTAAACATCATACATTTCAAGGAATAATAGATACCTAAATAAGTGCAAGCAAACACTAAAAATTTGGCAACGCTGCTATTTCTGCAATGATATTTATAAACTTCTAAACAAGTAGTTGCCTTGAAATAGCCCCTTAGGCGTAGCGTACGCCAGTAAAATTGAGAAAAAGCACTAAAATTTGTTAGGCAACACACAATACGTATGCAACACTATTCTGTATACCGTTGGATCTCTTATTATAGTTACTCTTTGCTTGTAATATATATTTAGAATTTAACATATCAGTTTTGCATGTTCAGAGTTAAAATGTACGCACTGTATATTCCTATGATCGGATTCATGTTATTGTCTTAAGAGTAGCTTTCATTTCCTTTCCTTCAGTGATGTGGGCGATTCCATATACAAATGCAAATGTAATGAAGAGAACTTTTGTCTGGTTTGGCATTGTTTTACTCTCGCTTTGCCCCTTTGCAAATTGGGAGTTTCTGTGTTTATGTGATGGACATACTACACAGTTCATTATTTTATCTTTGAGGATGCCGAACACAGCTGTTGGAACCACTCCATTGCTAAGGTGTGTATAGAATGGAGTATACACTTAGTAACCTTTAAGTGATATAGGCTACCTAGGATATAGTTAACCTATTGATTCCATTTTCTCTCATTTGGACCGGTTCATAACAATAATAAAGTCACTAAATATAGAGCTATTCAGATTTTATTTGTCAATTTTTTTAAGTTGGCAGCAAATTTGCCCAAAAATGGCGGATGATTGCGGTACTTTCTATATCTAGTGACTTTAAACAATAATGTCTATAGACTCCCTCTAGCGCCTAGAAAGTGTGGTATGTCATATAGGTAGTTTCCATTCCTTAGTAGTAGGATTTGCTGTGTCAGTTCCAATATTCAAACTCCTCATTCCTGTCTACCACACGCCAATTACTGATTGTAACTCCAACGTTTTGGATTTCAATAAATTTCAAGATTGTTTCCGGTTCTACTTGGGCGGAAACTCCCTCAATGGACAAAACGTATTTCTGTCGAGAATTCTGAAGCCTGTAGCTGCTTCGCTAAAGATTCTGGTATCCTTCGCGGTTCCAGTTTTTGCCTTTTTCGAGCCACTTCCCTTGGGAGTTCTACTATCAGACAGGTGTCGCTTTTGCGTCCCAGTCTTCAATGCAGCCATGTTTTGGTCAAAATAAATGGTATTTGGAATATTTAGAATCTGAACTATGTACAGAATTTTTAGAACCTCCTTTGGACTTTTCGGTATAGTCCAAATCTTTAGAACATACAGAATCGTTTGTACATGCAAGTTTTTACAGATATTCTGATGATTCAGAACCTTTTGATTATTTATAATTTCTCTTAGTGTGGGTTTATACAATCATTATTATCATTAAGACATAGCCAATAGAATCAAAGGTTTATTATGTGTTGCTATTGGCTGTTTCTTAATGACTTGATGATAGCAATTATAATTACACTACTTGATTGCGATAGCAGACCATTTTGGAGCTTACTGTCAGTCAGTACTGTGCACAAAAAACTGGTTAAGGTGTAAGATCTTACTTTTATGCATTAATAAATGTAAAAAAATCGATGATTTTTCTTTATTTATTTTATCACTAATACATGCAGGACATGCAACGTTTTGTCAGCGTTAATTGTCAGTGGGCTCCAAAATGGCGGACGAATCAGCTGTGGTATGGTAACTATAATAGTAATGATTATACAGAGTGTCTTTATTTATTTATTTATTATCCCTCTCTTGTTCTGGGTTCTCAACAGGCTTGGACCCAATTACAGAGTGACCCGCATAATGCTTTTTAGAGGTGCCTTAAGTTGTGTCCTTGTGGCTTAAATTGAGTAGGATAACATGGCTATCTTTGTTATTATTATACTTACAGATTCGGTTAAATTGGCAAAGTTGTGCAGTTTTTGATGCTGAAGGATATTCCGATGTGATATTTTGAACAAAATATGTAAATCGTTTCGTATTGGAAAAAAGTGAAAATCGCTATCTTTAAAAAGTTCCAATATATTAGTAACAAAGAGAGCTGTCGAAAACAGTTTCGAATTGCAACATTTGATGGGATAAATTCAATGGGTGTAGAAAATTTTTTTCAAAATGGCGGTTTTTGATATATTGACATCAACGTCCTTATTTTAAGGTCTTATGCCAATGCAAGACAAACAAACGAATGTGTTTTCAATCACAATCAGCCATGGAATTATTGCCATAAGAAATACATTGCACACTTCGAGGCAAAAATGCAAGGTTGATTTAGTATCACTGATTTTGTAATTTTTTTCTTTATCGAGTGACGTAAGATATCCAATATGGCGTTCATTTAAAATAAGAAAGTTAATGTCAATATCTCGAAAACCGCCATTTTGAAAATTTTTTTTACGTCCATTGAATTTATTTTATTCCAAATATCTCATCGGAATATCCATCAGCATCAAAAACTAACTTTGCCAATTTAATAATAACAAAGATAGCTATGTTATCCTAGTCAATTTAAGACACCCTGTATAAACCCACCATTAGAATCATCAGAATGTACAGAACGGTCAGGACTGTTCAGCAGATTCTGTGCATTAGGGATCTTCATAAACGTTACATACGTAGAATATTCAGAGAAGTTTTCGTAACTTTAGTCAGATTCGATATTACCACCCACATGCGTTTATTGTGAATATTATCAGACTCGTCAAACTTAAGAAGCTCCAAAACCTCCATAATTTTTAGACAATTCGGAATACGGCCAATCTGTTTTTTTTTATGGACAACCACAACAATGTAATCTAGTTCTGTTACGATATCTTTGTACTCTTAATATAGAAAGGTGTACGTATTAATGCGAGATAGTTTGTTTCAGATTCCTTCATACTGAATGTATCGGCCTTAATATAAAAATAAATATAAATTACGTTAATATGAGAATAAATTTTATTGTTGTGACATAGTAAGTAAAAATTGCAGATCTCTCGAGAGTCGTTTAAGAAACTGCGGAGGCTCTAGAACCAGGCCCTGATTTCAAAGTACAACTGTTTGTTTGTTGTTTGTTATGCCTATTCAGTGTGTTGTTATGTGGTTCTCTGAGTTTTGAATCCTTGGTGCTGATTTATGTTGATAAACTTGAATGTCTGCGGTTTCTTAAAAGAAGGATAAGGAAAAAAAACATTTTACTATCGTAATCTGCCACTTAACATTAACTAGCTATACACATTAAGAGTTAAATCCATACACTATAAATATTATAAATATGAAATATATATAGTTCGCCGTCGTAAAAACTAGCGTAACTGAGCAACTAGCTTTAGACTGTGTCTATATACGTAAGTATACCGAAATATATGATAACGTCATTTTAGTTTTAGATTTCTCATTAGCTAACATATACAACATAGAAGACTGTATGCTTAATAACAAAGTTACGCTATTTTTTATAACAGTGCCCTTAGTTAAGTTTTACTTGGTGACACATGGTTTTATAAATAAAATATATATATAAAGAGATGTATATGTATAAAGTATATGAGAATAGAATATAGAGTATTTATGAAATAGAAATATATCTATATAAATATTATACGATATACGTTTTGTTATGTTCCAATTTTTCGTCAAAAACTGTAACAAAATTTGTTTATTTGTGATATAACACTATTTCGTATTCGTAAAACTTTTTTACTCGTTCTTTTATACAACAATTGTGTCATATGAAGCGTACCTGAAAATTCCATCAAAAAAAAACTTTGTGAATTTGAGGCCTCAGGTAAACTTAGATCTGTAATTTTTATCTACTACCTACTATTAACTATTTAAGGGAAAAGTTTTCTACATTTATTCCATTCGGTGCTGTAAGCAAAACTAGAGTGACAGAATTGTTGTATAACAGCGGAATGCACTCATAAAAAATGCCAGACTAGGTTTAGTTAGATATTAGCGCTTCACCGCGTTGGCCATTGTTAAAAATTTATATACGAGTAGTGTTAGATGTGTAACCCCGGTGTTGTAATATATCTATTTTATGTTAAACGCAATATTATGAACATCACACGTTATCATTTGTATAAATAATGACGGTTCTGTAAAAATTCACACATTTTTAGCAATGGTTGACTCATATATCATTTTAATTTTTTGAGGCTATCGGTTCGTTTGTATTTAACAACCCATTTCAGTAGGTACGTTTGGTTGTGTTACATACAGAATAACGTTTTACGATTTGTAGCCTACCCTACGGTTGTTAACTTTTTGTTAAATAAACTGGAATATTTTTTTACGTAGGTACGGTCCATGTGTTCGTTTTACTGCCAACTACTACTATTTAGAGAAAAACTGTTCGATCGAAAAAAGTGCGCGCGCGCGATTTAATGAAAAGTTTCCATTGCTGGCGGTAAGCTACGACTTGTAAAGTAGCCCTATTTGTAAATTGAGGGTATGGTAAGAAGGGTAACGGTAATGCTATTGTTAATCGTTAACTGATTAAAATGTTTTAAAAACATATTTCAAGTGTACCTTGGGCCACAAAACTGTATATTATATTAATTTATTAGATTTACACTTTTTTTTAATTATTGCTGGCAAATTTTTTAAATAGATGTTGCTAACATTTGTTTATAATTTTTATTTCTGTGCGTTATCGGGCGATCGATTATATTTGAAGCGTTTTGAAAAATTTACAAATTTCGTATCTCATTCTCCAAATATAATAAATCGCCTCTTAGAACCAGAAATTATATATTTTTTGTAATTAATTTTTTTAATTGTATTTTTATAAAATCTTCTGGTATCCAGTCCTTCTCATTCGAATTGCATTCAAGAGTGCAATAAAAATCATTTTAGAAATTATATTCTGTCAGTACTGTGATGTTTAAAAATCTTTGGCATTGTTCCAAAGGCGAGAGGTAAGAGTTTTTTAAAATAAATCCATCTCTTAATGCAGATTTTTGTGTAACTTCCATACAGGCAGTCTGACCGTTGTGACAGTTGTACTGTGGTGCAACGTGGAAATTATAGCACACTAAAATGAGTTTACCGAGAGGTAGATTTAACTTCATAACAAAACGAGAAACCGTTCGTGCATTTTAAACTTTCAGGCAACTTCAAAAATACAACAACCAACACTTTATTCTGGTGAACTATCGACTGAAATGTCCAACTATGTATCTGTTCTGTGTATTTTGAAATTTGCAAATTAAATAAATAAATAACACTTAATAAAACCATTAGTTGATCAAGGATTCAAGTTCTTTTTACGTACGCAAAATAAAGGTCTCTATTCCATTTATGCTGCCTACTAATGAAATTGATTAAGCAGTAATGTAACTCTAATTCATCTCCGCTTGTAACACCTTTTAATCATAAATCCCCATTTGGTGCAGCCTATAGACCTAAAGAAATTGTCATGTAAACACTGTTGGCGAAGGTAAGTAACCCCAGAATGGCAAGATTAGGACTAACCCAATAGTCGTCGGGAAGATTGGTTCTTAAACGGCAGTGGTTGGAGGGAGACTAACAGATTATTAAAAAGTGCAACAATCTTACCACAAAATAAACCAAATAGTTGTTTAATCTTGCAAACTACTGGCGTTCCAAATCCAAATCATCCAGGAAATTGAACATCTAAAGCGTGGATCAAAAGTTATAGCGCCCCTTTTTTCATTGCAATCCAAAAAAAAACAAATCTTCCTTTTTTTTACCAAAAATCGACTGCACCAAAATTTCTCGGGAAAACACTTTTTCTCACTAATTTTGGTGCGTAGAATCCAAAACGATTCGCACTTTTTCGATCAGACCTCTCAATCAAAAGTTATAGACTAAATACAAATTTGGACAAAAAGTTCAAAGGGCCGTAACTTTTGATCTAGTATTCCAATCTTGGAACTGTTTGAAATTATGGATTCTACGGGCCAAACTCTATAAGAAAACGTTTTTTCGCGGTCGATCTCAAACAATTTTTTTTGACGGCCTCAAAAAAGGCAGTGTATAACCTTCCTTTTTTACCAAAATCGTCTGCTCCAAAATTTCTCGAGAAAACACTTTCTTACTAATTTTGATGCGTAGAATCCAAAACGATTCGCACTTTTTCGATAAGACCTCTCAATCAAAAGTACTGAATACAAATTTGGACAAAAAGTTCAATGGGCTGTAACTTTTGATCTAGTAGTCCAATCTTGGAACTGTTTGAAATTATGGATTCTACGGGCCAAACTCTATAAGAAAACGTTTTTTCCCGGTCGATCTCAAACAATTTTTTTTACAGCCTCAAAAAAAGGCAGTGTATAACCTTCCTTTTTTACCAAAATCGACTGCTCCAAAATTTCTCGGGAAAACACTTTTTCTCACCAATTTTGGTGCGTAGAATCCAAAACGATTCGTACTTCTTTGATCAGACCTCTCAATCAAAATACAAATTTGGACAAAAAGTTCAAAGGGCTGTAACTTTTGATCTAGTAGCCCAATCTTGGAACTGTTTGAAATTATGGATTCTGCGGGCCAAATTCTATAACAAAATGTTTTTCCCGGTCGATCTAAAAGGTTGACTATTTATGGGATGAGGACGACTTTAATTACGTTTATATTAAATGTTTATGTTATCTATCTTACTACTTGTCCCGTACGTAGAGAGTAAAATTGAGTTTTGAAATCGAATGGAGAATATTCTCATTTTTTTGGATGAGAGTCGCGTTTGTTTTTAGTGTCGAGAAGGCGGCTTCAAAGACACTGCCCAATATCTTTTATAGGTTAAAGTATAAAGTATAAACACAAAGCAAAAGCAGTTATTTTAATTTTTTATGAAAATGCAACAAGCTCGGGAAGAAAAGCAGTTAGAATCTGCGTTAGATTCAATAATTCAACGCATAAATGACCTGAAAGCCTCCGTTGCTTCAATGATTTTCAAAGTAGAGAATGAATACGAAACGTTAAATTGGCCTACCTTTCTGGACAATTATGCGTTATTATCAGGCCATGTGTGTAGCCGAATTTAGTTGCAATTCACACAAATTTCTGTCTTTTAGCTCACCTCATTATCAAAGTTGATGAATCACGATAAGTGTCCACCTCTGAGAAATCTAACTGTGCTACCACTGATGTTATCGCCTGAACGTGACGAGCAGTTGGTGCAAGGTACCGAGGGGCGGGTGATCACATTTGCGCACGACTTGGTTCCAGATTATTTACGTACGAAATTGGAACCGTTAGCGGAAAATAAAATGTTGCAGCTGGAGCATAAAGCGACAAATCTCACATACGATAATGCTCAGGTATTGCACTTCACATTCATATGCACACCTACCCAACTTTGGCCTTTAGAAGCAAGCAACAGCATATCAAAAAGTTGTCTCTCACGTATGGGATATCGTAAATAAAGCGAGGGAAGAGTGGGAAGTAGAATCGTCTGCCAGAGGGAATACGCAACAAAACTCTAGTGTCGCAGATACTCACGTGCTTGTCGCAGCTGTAGGGATGGGAAAAGGGCTTAAGGTATGTACATACCTTTTTATTCGGTTAACTGTTTAACTTTGTTTAAGATGGTAACAAATCCTAATGGACAGCCCAACCCAAGCAGTGGCGGCATGATGGTCGCACCACAAGGACCCGGCCGTCCTGGCGCACCACCGGGTCAAGGCCAAATCCCACAACCTCCCCAGGGAATGATGAGCAAGGCACCATCCGCAATTAAGACCAACATTAAAAGTGCCACTCAAATACATCCATACGGGCGATAATGCTCAATTTGTTGTTAATTTAAGATTCTTCGTGTATTATTTATAATGGAAAAAGAAATTAGTAAACGATTAATTTTGTAGTTCTTTTATTATTTGAAGGAGACCTCAACTTGACATTTATAATCGCACTATCCTGTCTAGTGACCTAATATAAGCAAAAAGTTCTTTCATTAATGCAGACCTGCACCTGGTTTCAAATTTGGGCCTGAATTCGTGATTACCGCCGGTTATGCCTGTTATACCAAAGTCTCACATCAAAACACTTCAGTTCTTTCTCGTAATCTGAACATTCCAGATTTCGATCATTGTGCTTTCGCTGATTCTAGAAAAGCATCAACTCTTTTCCAGCCTTTCCAATTGCAAGCTTTTTTTTCTTCAAACCAGCCTCATCAATGAACAAATAGTTAATAATTTTCAAACCATTTGTCCCGGAATTGTTATAAACAGAGGCTTTTGGAAGAACTTTCGAAAAGAAACATAAAAAAAAATGTTGGCCAACCAACTATATACAAGATATGACTTCCCACATTCATTGGATATTTCCTTTTAAAGAAGTTTGTTTATTCCAAAATTTACGTACTTTCTCAGAAATTGCGCTGTTTGGAGATGTCCCTATTTAATAGTTATAATTGATACATCTCTCCGCTTAAATCTCATGCAGATATTCAATCTCCCAACATAAACGGCGTCAAGCAACTTTACCAATTAAATTCGGAGGAACAGGATTGCGTACAATCGCTGGCATAAAACTCTTTCAGCTTTTCCAAGTTTTACTAATCGGTGCACTGGGACTTTTCCCCCTTAAAGGACAATTACGTTTACGCTAAAAAAACCTCGGGGCCATTTTTGACAGTCGAGACTTTTAAACCTGTACTTATATCCCTTGGACTAGGTAATTTAAATATTGAGTTTTTAACGCCGTGACGTCATACAACTGTTTTTTCAAATAAGTCTCCTACATTTTTTAATTAACGGGCAAAGTTTACGATTTGTTAGCCATTCAAATACGAGAATTAACGTTACTTGACGACTACCAATCTTATATTCATTTAAATGTTACTTAATTAATTTGTATACAGGGTGTCCCATTTATCTTGAGACAGTCGATTGTGGCGGAGATATCAAAAAATGATTTATTTAAAATATTCTTCATGTAGAGGGGCGCATCTAATGATGCTATGATGAAGTGTAGGGTAACTTAATTTTTTTCAAAAAACCGTATCTTATACTTGTTGATTAATCTTATTCTCAAACGGGAAATAATAATCTTTCGGGGGAATCGTTTTTTCCCTACACTTACTATTTTTTTAAGACATTTTTCTTTTGATTTGAGCTAAGAAGCTGTTGTGTCAAGAATTTGACGCGTTTTTTTATGTACACACTCCCAACTCCTTTATAATAATTTTTTTAATCAAACTAACTATCAGTTACAACGAAAACGGGGACAATAGGATTGAGCTCAACAAAAAATGTATAATCATGTCCTGTAATTAGAAATGAGCATTCTGCAATGAAGGATTAATCTCAAGGGAAATATCAAATATAATAGCAAAGAGAAAAAAAAATGTATCCCTAAGCAAACCGTCAGTAAATAGGGAAGCCACGAAGGTCCATCTTTGCATTGCGAGTTTGTCGTGTATAGCAATATCGAAATTAACAACAGCACCTGAAATACGGACTCTACGCATAAAATAAATTGATTTCGTAACAAAAACATATTCGACTTGCGTCCGACAATTTTCCTTTCCGCCATTGTTTAATAACAAATTTTCTGTTTGTATTGTACTTTAATTTCAGCCCGATTACAAGTGCATGGAAACATTGATATGATATCTCAATTTTATCACAGATTTCGAGGTAAGTATCTTACGTCAGGAGTTTCGTAATACATCAGCTAATGGTAAAATAGACGAGGTAGTGGTCGACAGAAATCAACACCCTGTATGTATTGAAAATAGATACATTTACTCTAAAACTAATTAGCAACCCATAAATTTCTCTTAAAAACAATCTTTACAATTTAAGGATTATAAGTTCATCAAATAAGTCGATCTATATGTACAGTGTGACTAAAATTACGTTAACGGATCCAGGAAGTATAAAATGTAGTATACAATTCTACAGGTCTAAAATAATTCAACTAAATCTAATGGCAGTTAGTTCAACTTAATCGTTTTGATATTACAGGTAACGATTCCCTCTACATTGTCTGGTGTTTGAGAAAAAGGAAAACAAACATTTACGTATACCGACCGTTAGCGCCTTTCAATACAATTTTTACATACACTGACTGTCACATATTAATGATAGTACGTAGTTCCCGAATAAAGCGACTTTCACAATCACATCTCACGCGTACTCGTACAACAGTCTTCGCAAACCGTTCAAGGCAATTTTTTTCTCTAAACCGCCTCGCTCACTGGATATCGTCGAGATAATTCGGAGGCGACTGTTTCGACGTGGACGCTAACGCTACATAGTTTGTGGCCGGTTTATAATTGTGCACGGACTGATTCATTTTGTGCTCCGGTGATTGATTTGGCGACGCCGGTTTTTCTTGCAGATTTAAACTTGGATCCTCTGCGACCGGTTGGTAACGGGACGTTGTGCATTTTTGGATGATAGTTAAAATCGCAGACTCCACGCAACATGCGTATCCTAAAGACTGCAAACAATTAAATCATATTAGTAACGAATTATTAAATTTTTGTTAAATTGTCTTAATGAATATTGACTTTATTGGTACCCACTGGAAAGCATTTTTCAGTAGCTTTCCAACGATGTGTCACACGTATGGGGTTGCCATTTAGGATTTTTGAAGAGGGGGGGCTGGGGTGGTAAGGGGGCTGAGGGGTTGTCACTAATAATGTCATTCTGGTTCCCCCGAAAGTTTTGCGCGATTTTCAATATCTTCTTTAGTTTGGAAAATATGGCCGACTGCAAGTTTTAAAATTGACACCCTGTATACAATTATATACAGGGTGGTGACTTGCGTAACGCATCATAGGGATTTCAATGTAAAATTCATAACATGCGATTATTGGCTCCCCAAATTATTTTAGAGCAAAAATGTATTAAGGTTTTTTGTAGAAAAAAATTTTTTACGTCAATCAACCGTATTAGTTTTCAATTTTTTGCATAATAAAGAGGGAAAATTGGAAAAATAGAACCCGCATCTTTTTCAATAATCTTAGATGCCATGGAATTTTCTAAAACAAAAAAATATCCAGTTATCAATTAGCAGCAATTCGAAATGGATTTTATGATCGACTTGGTTACTATCTTGCAGTTAATGGTGACATTTATTGTAAATTGTTATATTAGGAAACCGTTTTTAGTAATTTGGTATTTCTTTATGTTGAATTCTCTGTTCTAAATATAATACTTTTTGATAGAATTTCATTTGTTTTATAGCAGACATTCCATGGCATGACGGATGTTGGCGTAGTTTTTGTATTATAAAATTCCATGGCATCACAGAGGCATAAAATGTCCATATGGGCTATTAAAATCGAAAGAAACAAATTTGAAAGTGCACTCTTTGCTTCTTGGTCACAAGCGGCTCATCGAATTTTTTTTCTCTTTCTAACCATGTATAGTATAACAAGTTATCATTAAAATAATAAACGTGGGTGAAATTACAATTTTCATTTTTTCTTCATAGTTTGCCATGGAAACAAAACTAGCATTGGGGCCCAATTGTCATTTTACAATGTAACATTTGTTTAATAAGAATACACGGCGCAATGTAACTGCCCTAGTAATTAATTTCCATTTTGTTGCTTTGGCTTCCATACTTTAATTTTCGCTCATGTGCGATGTACCTATATATACCTAACTGAAGAAAAAGTTGATATTGCCAATTGGTATAGTGCCGGTAACAGTTTAAGGAACGTAAGAGATTTATTTTCGATGGCAGCAATAATCAAATTGATTAATATGACAGCCAGATCTTTATTTGTTTTAGACGTAAGTTTGGATGCATAAAATTAGGCGACTTTCAGAGGAGATCTTTTAAAAGTAGACATAAGGAAACATAATATACATGTAAATCGTAAATCCCTAAACTTCTAAATAAATGATCGTTAAAAAAAGTAGTGATAATATCCTTTGATATTTCGTCCTATGGGTTTATTTGAATGATAACTTGTTATACGTGGTTGGAAAGAGAAAAAAAACTGTATCAAACTGATTAAAAATGGTGTGGGAAAATTCGAACTGCCCTCCCGAATATTTACCCCTGTAAAAATTATCCCCTGGAACATTCATTTACAGAAAACAAAGTACCCTAGGATTTTTGGGAGGAAGCAAACTATTCTAGAGTGAACACTTTGTCTGGAACACTGGACATATTGTGAAAACTTTGGCTTCAACCTTCAATAAAGTTGGGTCACCCTGAATGTGAAATTATTTCTTTTCTTTAGTGCACATCTGGTGGGTTAGTTACGAATAAACACAAAATGTGATCGTTTCGCTTGAATTTGTACTTCAGTATTCGTTTTTCCTTTTAGAAATTTCTGAAGATGCGTAATTTATCGTTTGCGCTAAGAAGTGTGATTATCAGGCGAAAATTAATTAACGCACGTGTCAAATTCAAATTCACGAGGACAGAGATTATATTTTATGGTGGAAGTGAATTTTAGTTAAATACTGAACTGCACTATTCACAACAGACAGGAAATGTTCTGTGTAGGAGTCACACCACACAGCTGTAATAAGTTAAAGACCTATTCTACATGGATTACTTACACCAGTAATAATAAGTTGATGTTTAGTCCATTTAGGTACCCAAGTGAAGGCCTCTGATATGAATACCATATGAAAGATGAGTGAAGCGGCTACGAGGAATAATACACTAAGGCTCAAGTAAAAATACGCGTTCTGTAAAAAATGAAAAAATTAATTTGTGTTCGACTACCTACGTTAGAACAGATAGGTACTCACCAGTTTACCCCAATTAAACGGAAACAAGTAGACCATATGGGAAATATCGAGAAACAGTAGAAGGCAGGTTACGAACATGCTGACTAACGTTACAAACATCATAAGGCGAAGGCGTCCGACTAAAGGTAACATAAATAGACCGACTTTCACTGTTCCAGACGTACACAAACATGTTAAACACGCAATTGTCGATATCTGAAACAGAAATGTTACCCAACCCACTACAAAATTAACGAGCGTGTATTTTACGTACAACTAGAAGAAGTCTAACTAGTCCGGTGGCCGTTTTGAGGTGAGTGTGATCAAAGTAGATGATGACTCCAGAGTATAGGGACAGATCGGGCGAGGCAGCGCGATGGCGGTAGTGTGAGTGCGAATCCCACGAGTTAATCGTCCCGAGAGGAGTTTCGCACTCGCAGCCGCCCGCACAGTCTGTGCTGAGGGCCCCCGTTCTGCTGCCCGCTATCTCAAAGTCCTGCAACACACAACTCATACCATCCGGTTCCTGGAACATGGACATTGAACACTTAGTGCTGAAGGGTATTGTATGCTAAAATCAACTTCTAGAGCTTGCGGAGCGAGAAATTAAAAGCGGTACAATAACTTCTCGACGTTCTCTTTTTTTTTAAATATACGAAGACGCGTAGACGGACCACGTATAAATTTTTTTTGTACTTAAATAATTTAAAGGTACAAACTTTAAACTCTAATAGTGTGCAAATAGAATATCGACCATTATATTTTTTAGTCTAAATTGTCCACGCCGTAAAAACGTCATCTTTGACTCTTCACCTTAACTATTTTGAAAGGCGAACTCAGTTCAACGACAATGTACTTAATGTATGCCACAACGGTCCTAGTGGCAAGGATACCTGGCGAAACCGGGCCTAGTACCCATACAAGAAAACATTTGACTGATAACTGGTATGTCGTTCACCGAGTGTACGTCCCATCCGACTCCCATTGACTCATACATGATTTGTAGGTGAACACTTGACACCATTGTTAGACAAAAGAAGAAAAAAGTAACATGAAAACTCTATCCGGATCGCACGAAGGATTTGAATAAACACACATTTATTCAGAAACACATGAAATGATAATTAAAACAAAATTCCTGAAAGAAAAGCTTACAAACCCTGTTTGGATAAATGACCGGGTTCCGTTGTGATTGGCGATTTATTTGAAAATTCTTAAAAAGGAGTTTATTTTATGGTGGATGTGGCGTTTCCTTAAATACTGGAGTCGACGAGTAAATGAGGCTGCTGCTCCTGTTTTCGCGACGATAAAAAAGCGTGTACTTCTGTTTACTCTAAATTACGGGCAGTCAGCTCTATTTGTTTACTTGAAGACAGTTACCAAATTTGGCTAGCACAGATACCACCCGCACACCTGCGACCTACGCATACGCGATCGGCGATTCTGCCATTCTATGACTAAGAATATGTGTACCAAATTTGGTTCCAATCAGATCAGCCGGAAATAAGAGTACAGGGAGAGTGGGAGACAGACCGACATCATCAAGATATTGTTTGATTCGGATTCCTGGTGCTTCAAAATGTGTATTTCCGTCAAACAAGTGGGGGACCCCACTGCAATATCTCCCTTACTAACGTGCGGGTGCTAAAAATATGACAATCCTTATAATAAATTTAGTTAACAATTAATTCCACTGAAAAAGTAGATTTTTGAGGAGGACGCCTTTAAATAAATTTAATTTGCATTCTTCTTGAGCTAAAAGTTACACACTGGACCAAACTTCTGTGTGTGGTTTTAGTAGTAAAAAGGACACTCCATCTCGGCCGTAACGTTTCCAAGTTCCAGGCTGAGAGAACAGAAAGATCTTGATAGTAACAGATACCCAGGCGGCATTAAAAGTACTTGGTACACAGTAGATTAGCTCCAATAACGTGGGTAAGGGTGACAGACACCTTTTGAGTGTCTCTGAAGCCAAGGTTGTACCAAAAATGCCCCCATCCAGAGAGCTAAAGCTATCGAATGAAAAGACCTCTTCATTAAGAGCATCGACTTTGCAGAGGCATATCAGGTCAAAGCACAGTTTCCTTGGGTGAATAAAAATGCACCCGGAATGCTATCAAATGCTGCTACAAATTAATCTTTCAAAATGGTGTGAACGTACTTATTTGTTTAAAAAGTCATTGTCTCGGTTTATTTGGGCCGTTAATTATTGATTGGTAAATGCTAGTAATGAACTTTAGAAACGATACCATCTAATTTGAAGGTACCGATTTGACAACTATGAATTCAAACTTGAAAGTACAAATTAAAATATACACATGGTCTTCTACAACAAATTGCCAAACAAGTACTAACAGATGGATTATAAATACTTGGACAAATACTTACATAATACACTTCAACTGCATGCACTGTAAATACCTATTTTAAATCCGTTTCCCAGGATAACACCAAATTCAACTAAAAAAACTTTCACAAGGCACAGAGAGAATAATTAAAGTAAAAAGAAACAAAACGAAAAGTTTATTAACTACGAAATTTACAACTAAAACGTCCTAAATAGGTACATGTAGGAAGAACGTGTGTATGCATGAGCGTAGGTACACTCTGTCGATTTCGTTTGTTAAAATGAAAGAAACAAAAGACACGACTACTGTTGACGTCAAGTGCACAATACCTGAATATCTTCAGGATTAATATTTGTCGGCTCCAGGTCTCTTATGTCTTCTAACAGAAACTCGATCTCGTCGGTTCCGATTATGTCAGACACCGAATTGATATATCGGCCTGACTCAGACTGCATGACACCAACCGCTACACCTGGGGCATCCGCCCTGTCCTGGCCATCCTCACTTCATAAGAAAGGCGCTCATCTAAAAATTTTGTTGTCAACAATTTTTCGGTAAAGAATTTCTGACAACTAACCTTGCAAGAGTTGGTAAGTGTAACGAATGTGTTCGTCGAGCCGCTTCCGAAACCATCGAGAACTTTGAAAGGCTTAAAATGAAGTTTCCATTTAAAAATCGCCGTAATTTATTTCTGGACGCCGAAAATGTTACTCCATATTTACTAATCGAAGCTGACGTATCGCTTCCGGCTTTGATATTTGAAATCAAAATGGTGACCTATATACAAAAAAAAGATGCGCTGTTGCAATATCGATTATTTTACCGAAAATTGTTGCCCATTTTTCAAAGCTTTGACGATATCGTCAATCTCTAAATAGCCAGCCTGGTTACTCCATTTTCCCCTATGCTGCAAGGTATTTAGATGTTCGGTGGACCAAATTTTCCAAAAATACCTCTTCATCTTGTTGGATGAGTTTCCATCTTGTGGTGGGACGAATTCCCTTTGTCAGATCGGTGTCATCTGGCGGAATCTGAAGCGGTATTCCGTTAACGAGATGTCACGGAGTGAGTACAAATAGGTCTTCTTTTTAAATCTTCTTATTGTACGGCACACAAATGAGACATATGCCTCAATTTGGCACAATACTGTCAATAATTCCTCAAAGATCAACGTACTGCCTCCGATGAACCTTTTCATGTGGAATTTAGTGGATTTAACCGCCGCTTCCCAATTCTCCCATGTGAGAGACTGCCGGAGTGAATGAAGTTGAAAACGAAAAATTAATTCAAGAGAAACTTGAGAAGGTTTTGGTGCGAATTTCAAGAGAGTGTAAGAGGAACTTTTTTAAAATTTATTTTATTTTGTCTTTAATTTTGTTTACTTAATAGGATTTGACACGAATTTGAGGAAAACACAAGGGAGAATATACTCGAGAGGATCTTGTAAGAGTCCCTGTTTCCATAGCAGACGTTGATTATTCTTTAAAATTAAATCAAAATCGTGTAGAGTTGGTTGCCTATTATAACTATCTATTCCATACGTTTGATCCGTTTTTTTTAAACATAGTCCATATGTATACATACCTACATATAATAAAGCATGCTAAGCACTCTTTCTTTAATTAATTATGTATTACGCCTCACCTTATCCGCCGCACTATAGAACTGAGCGATATCGAACCGGTCTATTTATTCCATTTTGTGAGTAATCCTCCGTTTGAGGATTGCTCACCTTGGAATGGTCATTGCACTAAATTCTGGAAATAAAGTTAATAAAAAAGTTCTTACACATTTCCATTATGGCGTCTGAAGCTATTGGAACTTCAATATTAAAACACCCTGTACCAGCAACTGTTTTAAAACAAAAACTAGATAAAGTAGAAACCTGTAACTAGAAAAAATAACTGTCAATAACAAATGTTTAAATTACAATTCATTTTTAAGAGCGGAATATTAAATTGGATAACTACTTGTAATTTGAGTGCATGATAAATTTAATTGAATTCATCCAGTCCCATCAATTGTCGTATCTTGTCGCTTGGAGGTTATTCAACGAATTAACTCCCTTTTCACCGGTGCTTTTGTTATCTATCATCAATTGATAAGCGACTGTCATTTACCTTCGTTTCATATAAACAGACTTTACAATGTAATTTAACAGAATGGTGACCGTATCGTACTTGGATTTATCTGTAATCCTATTATTTATTTTACATTCGTCATTAGGTTAGAGGTTCGACTCGTTAAATGCCAGTTTTAATTACCGTTTTCTTGTAGGTAAGCAAGCGTGTGATAGTTCAAGTATTATCGAGAAACAGTGTCACGAAACTTTCCTCTGTGTGCCGACGAACGATTCCACCAACAACGGCTACTGCGAGTGTTTGCCGGGCTACACAAAGATCAACGAGACTTACTGCACCAATGCTAGCGATGCCACTACGGCGAAGTCGTCGAGTCTTGTAAATAAAGAGGAGGATAATGGCAGCGGACACGTGGTTGCTGGAATTCTTATCCCTGTATTTTTAATTATGGTTGTGATAGCTGGAATATATTTTAATAGAAAGTATCATTTAGCCGACTATTTTATAAGTAAATTGTACCAAAGAAATAGTAATTATGACGAGGTTATGATTGGGCAGGATTTGGAAGATGACGACCCACCTCTTCGTTAGTATGGCACTAGTTTACGCTTTTATATAAATTATATACTGCTAGTCTGAGTTTTTCTAAATATGTGCTCTTGTCAGATTTTATTTCCAATTGTTCCTACATTATAAACAAAAATTGCCTTGTAGTAAATATTACAGTTGATGCATTTGTCCTTTTATTCTTCTTTAACATTTGTCGATTGTTTCGCTTTGTATAATGTATATAAGACTAAAATAATAAAAACTTGCGCCTTAATGTTTCAATTATGACTTGTTAAAGGATGTATCACTTCGTTCCTCAAATAGTGGTGAGAAGAACCACTTGCAGGAGACCCTGATCAACCTATTTTTAAAAAACCTCCACATTAATTAACTGCACTGCATGTGGTAAATATGTAGCATATAGGAAAAACGAAAAAAGAAAATGTCCTCCAGAAATTAAAATAGCATGGAATAAGTGATCTAATGAATGTAGTGCATAATAAACATTAGCAATTCGGATTCAGAAGAAAGTGACATAGAAATAAATGAGAGACTAATCTCAAATCTGGAAGGGCATATACCCTTCCAGATTCGAGATAAGGGGATCACCTCAATATCTCTTTTACTTGGCAAGATACAAAACTGTAGTTTTTAATTCTAAAAAAAATTTTTGACTGTTTTACCAATTCAACAGCGGATTACGATAGAACCATTTGAGTCACACTGTAGGTTTGATAAAACTGGCAATATACTTTACGTATTCTTGCAAATAATAGCAATGAATAAGGTATTCCTTATTCATTGAATAATAGGTATGTTAGCATGTTTCTAGATGTATGGGATGGTGGGCCATCTTGCAGAAAGATGAAGATGTTAGTAGAAGTACTTTCACTAGGTATAGGGAAGCAATTGCTTACAACTATCTCTTTGGTAAATTTTAGAATTTATAAAATAAGTTTGTTTTTTCCACCAATGAGGCGGGAAAATGACTCCTTTAAATCAATAGTAAATTCAGCGATATCTCAGATTTCTTTTAACCATCAACCCTACTGTTTTGGTTTTTTTGGTGACCCTCCTTAATAATTGTTTGGTTCTTTCAAGTAAATCTGCTGACTGGTCCCTTACTTCCTGTGATGTCTAGCCAAAACTCATAACTGAAGGGACTTGATGTAAAACTAGCAGATACATCATGTCGAACAACCACCTGGTAAGTCTCCCCCAAAACAATGCTATAGGAATTGTGGCGAAACATGTACAAGTAGGTATTAAACCCCTTCACCATGTCAGCATCCTCCTTTGCCACAAGCATGCAGTCTACTACAACTTTTCCAAATACCTATGTAAGCACCAAAGACAATTGTTAATTAAGAAAATTCCAGGCAAGTCTACGATATTCTACAATTAGTAGCTATTAATAAATAACCCAGTTAGAAAAGACCCCCTCAATATTAATAAAATTTTATTACTTAATAAGTGTATGATACAAAAAAATATAAATGTGAACAATTATAAATAAATGTTTTAATACCAATTTCTTAATGCTGATGTGTACGTTGCGATGTCAAAAAGAACGTTTTTTTATGAGAAAAGTCTGAACCGCTTTGGTGATGCAAAACGTAAATAAAATCTATGGAATGTGACGATCGACAGATATTTTTTAGCCAAAGCTTCTACGAGATTATAAAAAAGTTTTATATGTCACAATTACATTTTCTTTTTGTAACATTAAAGCATAAATGTCAATTGATTCGCTCGTGAGCAAATCGTTTTACATAAATTATGTACAATTTTCCAAATCGTAGCCAAGACATTATAAATATGTTCAAAATGGCAGTTATACAAGATTTCTCGATTGTGCGCTTATAATACAGATAGTATTGCACTATTACATAGGCGAGACGAGGTATCCGTGACAATCAATTTAACTATAATCATCTGCACAAAGAGAAATTGTTACTAAAATGTGGTGTATAACATCATTTAAAATCAAATAAGTTTCGCATTTGTTTACGATTTCAGTCTCAAATGCTTCCATTTTTAATAAAGTATCCAATATATATCATAACAACTCATCTGAGAGTATAACTTAAATAATTATTTGTCAGGATTTCATCGCAATTCTTTATAATATTTTGTAATAATATTAATACGAATGTAGACAAAACCACCTCCCATCTAATTAATGGTAATGCATATCCAATGTGTTACGCAGCCAATCAGATGGGGGGTGGGCGTGGCCTCAGTAAGCGGACGCTTCTTTATATTCCGAACCTTCCATGGTAAAGAAATCTTCCAACTTCCACTGTAGGGTTTCAAAGGTAGGCCTTTTCATCGCGTCCCGATGCCAACATTCCAACATAATATCGTACAAAGCGTTCGGACAGCCGGGCGGGCATGGCATGCGGTAGCCGTGATCCACTTGATGCAATACTTCCGCATTGGTCATACCTGAGGGCAAACATTGAGTGGTAGGTTATGAGCAAATAAGTACTAACCTGGGTATGGAATACGACCGTAAGTGACTAGCTCGGTAAGTAAGATACCGAATGACCACACGTCCGATTTTATCGAAAATTTGCTGTAGTTTGCAGCTTCCGGAGCTGTCCATTTGATGGGAAATCGTGCGCCGACTCTCGCTTCATATTCGTCTTCCTACAATGAGTGTGATTTTACTCCGATCACTTTCAATGCTCACAGGACAAGCTTGGGATAAGGGAACTGAAAAGGAAAGCGAGATAGGATACTAGGGAATAGGATCTAGACTCACCTTAATGAGTCGTGCTAAACCAAAATCGGCAATTTTAACTACATTACTGTCGGCGACAAGAACGTTTCTGGCTGCCAAATCCCTGTGAATGTAATTTTGCGATTCAAGATATGCCATACCGGCCGCTATTTGGGCGGCCATATCGATGAGCTGTTGCAACTTAAGTACTTTGCCTTTTCCTTGCAGGTAGTCCAAGAGCGAGCCGTTCTTCATCAATTCGGTTATGATGAAAATCGGCTCCTCCATTGTACAAACTGCGTACAATTGAATTAATTTCTGATGCCTCAACTTCTTCATTATTTGCGCTTCGGCGAGGAAATCCTTCGGATCCATAGTGCCAGGTTTTAATGTTTTTATCGCGACGGGCGTGGTGTTGTTCCACATACCCTCCCACACTTCGCCGAACTGCCCGTGACCGAGTTTCTTTACAAACTTCAAGGAGGTTCGGTCAATTTCCCATTGGTCCCGAGTGCGATGCGATAAGCCTTCCGGTTGCGGTTTTTCCACCTGTAATACAAATTTCGAACGGATTACATACGGAATTGGGGATTTTCGTTCGTGTTCTTCCGTTAAACCAATGCATATTTACTGGTCCATCTATGAATAAGTTGAAGTGCAAAGAGTTGGAAGTATAAAGATGGCACGCATTAAGATAATAAAGAACAGTAAATGTGCAATTATTAATAACACATGGTACAGCATTCAATTACAACGAATCAAATTTGAAGATTGTGGTGAGTCACTAAACGGCATGATAGGATTATATGTTTCATAAACGTTGCACTTGAAATGTTTCATAGCATTTAATATTATAAATATTTCAGTGGAGATTTTTCTTACATGTAACAATAAGCAATAATCCAGAGATGTTTTACTTGCAATAGAAAAGTGACTATACTGCATTCATTATAAAAAGGTAGTAGATGGCGCTGGGTTTGAAGATAAACACACACAGTAAAAATATGAAACGGTACCAAATTATTGTAAAGTAGAAATATCCAGCACTTTGTTTAATTCTACCACTACCATCCGGGCAGCCAAGAAAAATTTCTTCAGTTTATTTATCAAACCAGTTCGACTCATTGGCCCATATGAATAAAAGTAAGCAAATGCTTATACTTACAAAATTCAAAGTAAATACTCGTAAGTGCTCCTTCGCACTGGGCGACTTAGCAGTGCTGCTAAGCAGAAGGATGGGACGCAGTGCAGTGGTGCTACACAAACCAGTATAAAGGGGCAGTTACTAATATTTACTTTGAATTTTGCAAGTATAACCATTTGCTTATTTTTATTCATATGGGCCATTGAGTTCAGTTGAATAAAGAAGAAGTGAAGTTTCCTGACGCCGTCAGCGAGTATTTTTGTGTCTTTAATAAGTGGGCCTGAATACCGCAAACCTTTCACGACCAGATTATTTCCATTCTTAAAGAAACTATGTAATTTAAGATTTTTTTAATTATCGACCGTCTGCGTGCGGGGTATTATGTCCAAACAAGCTGTGTAAGCTTTCTTTCGTGGATTTTGCTTTATTTTTTGTGTTTCGAAATAAATTTTTATTATTGCCATTCAATTAATAAATTGTGTGTTTATTCGAATCCTTTGTGCAACCTACATAGCTTCTATTTTGTGTAATTCTTTGAAAATAGTCATAAATTGATCAAAGCCACCAAGTCTCTCAAACTGAGAAATTTTAAGTCTTTATAGCAGATGCTGGAAGTGATCGAGGAGAGATCATAAAATTATAAGTTGTAATGTCGATTTGTTTAACCTATCTGGACAGGTGGTGTAGTGACTGCACACCATTGCAGATAGCAATAGATACATAATATAATGCACTTTGATAATACATAAAAACAAATTATGAACAGCAGATTAAAAAATTTATTTACGAGTAATTAAACAAATTCTATCCTCCACATAAATGTCCCCCTAATTCAAACTAGGGTAATTTTATTGTTAATAAAACGTTGCCTGTGTGAGCGAATATTAAACATCTACGTAATGTGTCGTAATCATTTACATGTATACTATAAATGGTATCATCTAAAAAAAAATCGGGGGGGGGGGGGGAGTAGTGTAACTTCCCACAATGTTTATTGTTCATTTCAATATCGCTGTGGTATGAATAAAGATAGGTATAAAGCTGATAATCATGCGCGCCCTCTAGACCCCCAATCTATGCGCTTATAAACATTTCGCTCATTCATTGGGAGGGCGCGCATGATTACCAGCTTTATACCTATCTTTATTCATACCACAGCGATATTGAAATGAACAATAAACATTGTGGGAAGTTACACTACCCCCCCCCCTCCGCCCCTTTTTAGATGACACGATCTATAGTTCCTGAGATGTGACATGTTTCATAGTTTCATTTCAGAGATGTAACATACATGTTATTTGGCACTATGGCCAGTGTGTGTTTAAAAAATTGTTAGGATACAATAGTTTGGAAGCTACATTTGCAAGCGAGAACCACCTCCTTTATGTCTTATTAAATTTATGAAGTTTAAAAAATGTTACAGAAAATATGTCCTACATTTGCACTATACTGCATTCATTAAAAGAAAGTAGTAGATGGCGCTGTGTTTAAAGATCGACACACACAGGAAAAATATAAAACGGCACAAAATTTGAAAAATATAAATATAAATCAAACGATATCACGCTTGGATCTTTGAAATTGACAGCTAGTGACAGTTCGACAGTTTAATTCGTAACTGACACTTCTAAAGGTGGGTTCATAGCTCTCCGTTCATACCTTTCCGTTTGTCCGTTAGTCAATCAGAACACAGTAAATTTTTAAACCGTCCTTCGTCCATTTACAACGGAAAAGTTGGTTGAAATTGAACATTTACGTTTCCGTTGGTCCGTTTGTTAACGAGAGTAAGGTTATGTTTGTTATATTGTTGACGTTTAAGAGCAAATTTAACACTGTTCGCCTATTACGTTCTTCGAGGTGATAATCTGATAGTAGTTTCTACGTACTGAAGATCACGGTGGGTCCAGTACAAAATAAAATTTAGGTTATGGTTATACCTTGTAAACGTACGATATGGACGGATTGCTATGAACCTTAACAAATTGCACTATCCGTTTGACGGAACAACGCAACGGATAAACGGAGAGCTATGAACCCACCTTAACAGACAGAATTCGTCACTCGTTTTATTTTTTAGTGTAATACTGACTCGTGTTTTAACTAATCACAGTGAAGATCAAACTGTCTTTATGCTTTCTACCGCTACCTTCTTAAAAATGAATTTTTTCTTTCTGTTTATAGAATCATTAAACAATTAAGACGACAATGATTTTTTTAAAATAAATTACAGTTGTTAGGGTTTACAATTAGAATGCTGCGCCCTGCGTAATTATCCGGTTTTGTTATTTGTAAATAGTATGGACAAAAAATGAAAGTAAAAGACAGTAAACGCACCATAACGGCATCATGAACAATTATTTCTAAAAATTGAGCTTTACAATGCCTATACCGTGCAACGCAACGAACTAACCAGCTATTGATTATCGCATTCAGTTAGGCAAAAAACATAAGAAAATGTGATATCGAAGAGGGTACTATAACTACTTGTGTGAAAATTCGATTATGAACAAACAACAAAGAAACGTACCTCCATCAAAGGATTCTGCAGATAACGAAAACATATGTTAGTGTTTGCGAAACAAGCGTCACTAAAAAATTAATCCAATTGAATATTGCACGACCGAATAGATATTGTAGTTGGACATTTTGCATAAAAATGTATCATTACAATACAATATCATAAACTGTCGAGTAACGTGAGGACTACTCGGTACACAATAACTCAAAGAAAACGCTTTCTTATGGAAACTCGTTCAAAAACTGGGCCACGGTTAAAGTGGACCCATAAAAAAGCATCTACTTTGATGATACCGTTATGTAATGGGTTAAGTTGAATGATGTCGTGACAGAGTCATGCAAATAAGTATTCGATTTCCGATTGCAGTTCCTAGAGTTTCAACAATAGCCAATAGCTGTTAAAATTTCCAATTCAACCAATCAATAGCTGCGGTTCAAACAACCCGCACATACCTGAACGCACGGCTTGCACAGGTTGACGCACAAACCATCCGCATCCTTGCTGTAATGTTCGACCAGTTCTTGGAGTGTTCTAAACGTCGTCCTCCGCGCAATAAAAAAGCCGCCCTCGTCCAATTGCCTAATGCGATAGTGCTTGACGGTGTCGCCGTCGCGAACTGAAAAGGACCTATTATCAACATGATATGTGTTAGCGACCGTTTACCTGACAGTGAGTAGTCGTTGTGTCGACTTTCCGAATCTCGAATGAGGAAGGCGCCGTGGTCGTTTTCTGGTAAAAGTAGTTTCTTCTCAGCCTCAATTCGTTTGATCTTACGGAAGTACCATCTGAAATCAAAAATTTAAATTAGATCGTTTGGTAGATCATATACAAAGTAGAACTGATCAATGAGACTACATTTCAAAATAGTTGTGGAATGAGAATTTAATGAATCCAGATAATCCCAGGTGGTTCTGAAATCGGTAAGGAAAAGGTAGTCAGAAGTATTTCAGCACATCAGAATTTCCATAGCAAATGTACTACTTTCTTATTCTTATGGACGCCATATTGAATTTTTACGCAAAGAGATCTAGAGGTCAAAAAAATTCATTTGAATGCATGACATTATAACCATGCAAGATCTAGTTACCCGCGGATATTTTGTTCAGAAATTTGATTTTGAAATTCTGTAAAAATCCAATATGGCGTCCAAAAGAAATCAGAAAGTAGTAACATTTAGCTTTCTACATCTAGCATGTTATGGAAATTCTGAAAACAGATTCAGATTCTCTGAAAAAAGTGCCCATAGAAGGTGCTAACGAACAAATGAAAACGAAATTTGCTATTTTCAGTTTTTCCCTGATAAACACGTAAATATATATATAAATTTAACTGAGGCATCTCATCATCAGTAACAAAACATCGAGATTAAACACATTTAGGTACATTAAAAACAAAAATTAATGGCTCACATTTTTTAATTTTAAAAAACTAATTTTCACTACAGTGTTTTCACACCTTAAGTATTGCGCTGGCATGGGGTAGAAATTTTTGATTTTTTTTACACAAACCGAACACTCATATCCAAAAGCCTAATTAGAATCGTATTACTGTAGCTATTAACCAGTTATCAAAGCGTTTTTATCATTATAGAATATTTTAAAAGGTGGGAACACTCTTCCCCCCTCGCACAGGCATGAGTTTTGAAACAAGGTGTCATATGACTCTTCTTTTAAATTGATTTTTTAAATTACGCTTCACACTGTCCAAGATAAGGATGTCATGTGGATCACAAACCATAAAAGAATTGTGTAAGAAAAACCAGAAAATTCCGAATACTTCTGAAGAAAAACCGAAACTTGCCAATTAAGTTTTTCTGATGTTGTTTGAAAAAATTAAAACACTTTCTCATTTCCACTCTTTGAGCTCTACAAGACACAGTTGAGAGAATTTCAATACGACGTTTCGTTTCAGAGAAATAATCATCAACTTTATACTTTTATATGGTACAATGATGTACCGCACACAAAAAAAATAAAAGTTGGAAACTGTTAGTTTCAACAGGATGGTGCACTCGCGCACAACGCCCTAATCGTACAAGAATCCTTATCAGACATATTTTCCATTGTCCAGAACACAGTGTATACTGCCCCCAGCGCCACCTAGATTTGTGTTATTAAATGTTAATAAAAAACAATTGTACACTACTGAGATACAATAGATAAAAGGAGGCTATCTATTTTGCACTGTAGCAAAGCAAGCTCGAAAGCAGGCCCATTGAAGTCTGCGTGTAATCGTGAAAATTGTTTGAAATTACACGAAAATTAGGTGAATTCTTATTACACGACAATCCTGAATTGGCCTTTTTACAACTGTGTTCCCTCGCTGAAAGGCTAGGTCTTCAGAGAAGATGAATTAACAGTTAAAGGGAGGCAAAATTGCACATTTCAGAGCTAAATCTAACACTACTTGGGCAATACTTTCGGAAATAGTCAGAAAAAAACCAAAATTCCCTAAATTAATTTTCATTTTCTTTGTGACTTTATAAGGGATTTTCCAAAAAATGAAATGGCTCATTAGCTTTTTCATGTACATAGAAGTTTCATGAAGAATGTTGTTTCAACCATGTACGTTTATAGGAATTGCGAGTTGAGTAAAGTTCCTTTAGCTCTGAAGTATTTTTTACCCTATTTTGATTTCAGGAGTTAGATTAATTCTGTGTTAGGGGAAGGGTGAGGATTAATACAGAGTGTTAAGATAATTTCGGGCATATCATAGTTTTTGATACGTAGGTAGTTAAAGAGGATTTTTTCCATACGGATGGGTGGCTTTCATTTGAGACAAAACGGCAGGCGCTTGAGCTCTCTATACCGTGAGCTCTTGGGCTCGGCTACATAACAGTCTTAGTAATTATATTCATTTCCGTTAGAGATGGTGGCATAATGTATGAAATATCGGTGTACTGTTACGATTATGAGGGAGATAAAATTCCCCAATGTTATAGTATGGGTTGAACACAGAGCTATTCTCGTGTGATTATGAGAGCCTGATTTGAATTTGATTGTTTTTGTTATTAACGATTTGAATTAAATTTCGCCCCCCCCCCCCCTTCGATATGGGTGCTATATTCATATTGCTTAGGTACCTTTACACTATCATACTTCTCCTGTGATTTGTCATATGATAAGTTACAAGCATTTAGATTTGTGTTTACACTATACTATTTTTGGTACTATGGCTGTCATAAGACAAATCATAAGGAAATAATATGGAAATAATACGTAAATCGTGGAATAGGGATGTTTCTATTTCTGCATGACAAATGACATGACTTATTATTTTAAATATCCAAGTGATCCCGCCCTTTTATGGTTACTTTTCGCATTTTGCTGTTGTACTTATCTGAAAAAGCTGAATACTTGAGTAAACCAGTAAACTTTTGATTATATCATTGATTATAGGTGTGTATAATCAATGATTATAGGTATATTAGTTACTAATGAAAGAATAAATTACATAAACAATAAATCGAGCAATAAATATTTACGAGTTCATTGGTATTTGGTTGTCTGGTTGTAGTGGTGTTTTCGGACACACATTGTCAAATAGTGTCTTGATTGGTAATTAACCCTTCAAATGTTTGGGGTAATCTTTCAAATAAGGGTACACTCATCCTTAATGTCGACCAAGGGGACAACTCTGTTTGCTTTGTTAATGAGACGCATAACGGAGAAATTATTTTTAAAATAATTGTTAAACTTTTTTCGTTAAAAATGTACTATGATTTTTGAGGCACTTTAGAAGTTCACCTATTTGTGCTTTACAGGTGATTTTTTTGAGTTCTAAGTTAGCCTGAAGGTACTTCTTTGTTGAATACCTACTTATTGTGATAATTAGCGATTTATTTTAATACAGAAGTTAACCGCACAAAATTGCTTATTTGCCAATTTATTTAAAATTTTGCGGGATCCCGCAAATACCGGGTTTCCCGCGGGATTAACATCTAACGATCCCGCAAATACCGGGATTGAGATTTTGCTGCGGGATTGCATTCCCTAGCTGTAACTTTTGAACTAGTAGCCCAATCTTGGATTCTACAGGTCACGTTCTATAAGAAAAATTTTTTTCCGGGTCGATCTGAGACAATTTTCTTTTCGGGGCTCAAAAAAAGGGAGTGTATATATAACCTTCCTTTTTTTTACCAAAAATCGACTACACCAAAATTTCTCGGGAAAACACTTTTTCTTATTAATTTAGGTGCGTAGAATCCAAAACAATTCGTACTTTTTCGATCAGACTTCTCAATCTAAAGTTATAGACTAGAAACCAATTTCGAAAGAAAATTCAAAGGGCTGTAACTTTTGAACTAGTAGCCCAATCTTGGAACTGTTTGAAATTATGGATTCTACAGGCCACATTCTATAAGAAATTTTTTTTCCGGGTCGATCTGAGACAATTTTTTTTTCGGGGCTCAAAAAAAGGCAGTGTATAACCTTCCTTTTTTACCAAAAATCGACTGCACCAAAATTTCTCGGGAAAACACTTTTTCTTATTAATTTTGGTGCGTAGAATCCAAAACAATTCGTACTTTTTCGATCAGACTTCTCAATCAAAAGTTATAGACTAGAAACCAATTTCGAAAGAAAATTCAAAGGGCTGTAACTTTTGAACTAGTAGCCCAATCTTGGAACTGTTTGAAATTATGGATTCTACAGGCCACATTCTATAAGAATTTTTTTTCCGGGTCGATCTGAGACAATTTTTTTTTCGGGGCTCAAAAAAAGGCAGTGTATAACCTTCCTTTTTTACCAAAAATCGACTACACCAAAATTTCTCGGGAAAACACTTTTTCTTATTAATTTTGGTGCGTAGAATCCAAAACAATTCGTACTTTTTCGATCAGACTTCTCAATCAAAAGTTATAGACTAGAAACCAATTTCGAAAGAAAATTCAAAGGGCTGTAACTTTTGAACTAGTAGCCCAATCTTGGAACTTGGAACATTTTAATTTAGAGAAGTTATATAGGTTTCGTAACTTCTTGTATTAAAGTCGTATGAAAAACCTGTCAAGTGTAAAGTAAAACATTAAAACTCATACGAAAAATATGTTGGTAGTAAATATCATATAACATATCATATAAAAAATCATGTGAGATATATTATAGTGTAAAGGTACCTTTAGACTCACCTGTCTGTATTCTAACAATATTTTGGTTTCACCGTGGACTGTATATGAATGGGACAAATCCAAATTTGCACAACAAACGTCCGTCCGTCTGTGGACACGATATCTCACTAACGGTTTCGAATTTTCCAATTCTGTTTTTAGCAATAGGTACATAATGGTCAAGGGACTAATTGCGTAAATTTTGGTCAATTTTCGTCAACTGGAAGTGACTTTGTTGCTCGTTGCCTATATTGGTGCAGTTTATTTGCTAACCCGATTCTCTTTTTTATTAGCCATAGTTTTACTAATTAGTTGTTTACTCACGTGCTTTCGTAGGTTTCTACTAATTAACAGTTTCATTCCACGGATGTGTACCTACTTATGTTAAAATTAGCACATCTGTCAGTGTTGATAGATTTGTTGATTTTAAGAAAAACCGTTATCCAAATTATGGTATCACCTATGACAAATAGCAAACAATCCCCCATACACAAAAAAAAACATTATTCATTCATTAAAGACAACGATTGACCAATGACCTAACGGTCTTCCTTAATGTTATTTTTCTTATTTTTGAAACATACTGTATACAGATATACTGATGTCCGACAATTGACAGTTTTGAAACTTACCTTGCAATCTGCATTCAAAATTTGTAATTTTTTTACAATACATAAGCAA